GGGGGGGGGGGGGGCTCGTCTTTGTAATGTAGCATCATTCTGAGGACATGGCAAACCACGTGATAGGTATTCCAATATTCTCTTTTCAGCGTCATGATATTTGGAGGAAACGCTATTGTTCTGGATTAGGGGTAAAAACAAGATGAAAAGGAGAGTGAACACCCAAAATGTTAATAAAGAGAAAATAGTGCCTGTCGTCTTTGCTTTCAATGGATGATAGCATTCAGTACGTTCCACGGCTGGTTTGTCGAGAAATATTAATGATATCAATGCGACACTAAAGAAGAGACGATAACGCGACGTTACGGATGGAAAAGTATGCATGCTAGACGTCCATTTGGAAGTTGAATACTCACCGTTTTCGGAAAATGAATTCTCCAGCCCTCTCCAAACGCAGCCCACGATTTTCGGCTTCAGTTTCGATGTCTTCGTATTCCTCTCGCTCTCGAATTGTTCGCCCAGTACTTTTAGCTTGAACTTGTGCGTTTCTGGCGTCTATAAAATAATTAAATACAAAAATCAATCAAAATTTAATCATGAACATTCACTACCATCGAAATAACTGTAACAATTCATTGGTACATTTCGATAACAATATATGTAGTATCTTTTGGATGGCAGTGTACATAATCTTTTATAGAGATGTTCATACTTAGATACTTACCATGCCTTCCTTATCTTCTTCGTCAGCCCGGAGTTCCTCCTCGGATAAGTATCTGTATTGTTACAAAAAAAAGGGCAAACCATGAGTTCAGACCACTTATAATCTCTATGAAAAAAAATGCTAATAGTCTGTTTTTGTCATTTAACAGAATATAATATAACACTAATATAACACTTACCCATGGGGAACCATGAACTCGTTATCCACATCGTACTCATTGTCTTCTGGATTTTCCTCGTCCTTTTCTTCGTCAGAACCATGCAGAGACTCGCCTGGCTCCTCTTCTTCCCATTCTTCGTCCGAATCTATCTCGTAATTGAACCATTTCTGCAAATAATAGTAAACTCACGTAAATTTCCAACATCTCGACTTCAAGTGTCTCCGTTACAATTTGACAACTATTGTGATAGAGAAGATTTTCTGAAGCTCGTGTTCTCCGATATTTCAAGACCACTTTTTCAAGTGAAACGTATTTTGACTAGTTAATCAAAAGAAGACTTCAATCGCCCATAATTCAATGACTTTTCAACGACCTTCGAGGATCAAAAACTGATTTCCTCTGAAACAATTTGCAGATTTGGATTCTGAAGATCTATTTCTGAAATATCTAGTTGAAGTTGCAAATGCAAAATAATCTTGGAATGGACAAATTGTTACATTTTAGAGGGGGTCGGCGTACTTTTGTAGCGTATTGTAGCGATTCGTGCGAGGATGACAGTCCATTCGACCGCGTTATCATCAGTTTTCCACACACAAGTTTATTTTAGTTACGATCACGGCCACTGGATTTCACTGGAGTCTGCCATGATTAAGCAGGACGTCGGTATCAACGCGACTTCCTTGACGGGCGATAATCGTGGTCTCTTCTGTTAGTCACGGAGACTATACGGACCTCGGAGAACGCGCCGGTTTCTCTCTCCTCAAAATGTAGATGCTCTTTCCGCGAGCTGATCCGGAATCGAAGCGAAAACGCGCGCGAAAGCTTCCGTTGCAGCTACAGAATTTCCAAAAAAAAAAGAAAAAGAAAAAATATACACGAAAATGAAATTCGAACGTGAAGTGCATCGAACGTAATCATCTCTTAATGTTCCGGGCTGTGGCCATTTTGTAAATAATTTTCTGGATCTTCGAACGCCGTAAATCTAATCGAAATTCCAATTCTGGCGAATCTGGTGGATCGTCTCTGGGATTATTGTGTCTTCGAGATTGAAATCGAACAGCTGAGCATATAGGAAAAATTAGATCGATCATCAAATAAAATTGCAAGCATATGTGTGCACGATAGATTCGAATGAAAATCGATTCCTATTAGAATCGTGTGAAGTCTGCAGACTTCGGTGAACTATCTTCGGCATTATTGTGATTCCGAGACGGAAATCGAAAAATCGGATTGTCGAGGCCGCCCACTCGATAAGTGCAACTTGGTAGCTTGTATTTGTAGCTATTTTTATGAATCTATTTAAAGCGATATCGGATTTGAAATGACGAGGCGATGATCGCCCGAGGATCTCGGCTGGTACAGTGACTCCTCAGGAAGAAATTAAGCTCCGCCGAGAAGGATCGCAGGCTGCGGAGAGCGTCGCTCAAGGAAAGTCAATAAATCGTCGGGGTTTTCTCTTTTGTGGCGGGCGGCGGAGCGATTCTTTGTTCGATAAATCAACGTCGATTTCATCCCCGCGCGGGCATCAATTACAAGACGTAGCCGAGACATTAATTTATTATTGGCGGTGCCGCGGATGAGGGGTGCGCCCCGACGTCCATCGAGACGATACGCGGAAAACCGGACGCGCTGCTACGGAGGGAAAGGGCTGTTGCCCTAGCTGAGTACTAGTTGAGCAGCTTTTGGCAGCGAAGAAGTACGTATTAAGGTTACTGGGTTTTCTTACATAAACAAATTGCGATCTATGAGCTAGCATTAGGCTACAGTCGATTTTGAAATGATTAATAGCAGCTAGGTTTTCCTTCGAACATGTTAACCCTTTGCAGCCGAAGCTATTTGAATTCGAAATCCAAAGCACGATTTTTTTATCTACAGTATTTCTATTTTATATAATTTATTGCGATTTATGCATATGAAATCGAGCCTATTGGCAAGTATAGCTTTTTATAAATATTAGGGGGACCGGAAAGTTATGTCGTTTGTTTACATTAAATTCAAACAGATAAATATGCGTAGAAACGACATTACTTTCCGGTTCCCCTCATATAAACGAGTCTGATGCTCTTAGGACGATTTTGAAAAATAGTATACCAATTTTTAGTGGCGTCTCAGAGCCGCCACACGAGTGCAAAGGGTTAAAATGTAAATTAGGTGACGGTGACTTGAGTTCACAATTTGGGCGGTGCTGCATCGTTTTCTATAAAAGCTGGAAACATCATTGAACATTCTTAGGCATTCCACTACAATAATATACAAGGTGGACCGCGGAACGTGATCAACTTTATTTATTCCGCTGCTAGTGGATCGATTGGAATATTTTTGAGATAATGTGACATGGTTTAAGGAGAGCTTTGAGACGATCGCTCTAAATTTTCTGTCAACCCTTTTTTCCGAAGTTATCAAGACCACCTTCAGCTTTTTATAGGTTGATCTACAATCTTTTGAACGCATTTTTTAGGGGATGATGAGACGAATTCGGCGAACATCATAACATATAGTTTTTTCCGAATCTAAAAGATCTTTTAAAAAATCTTGATAACTCACACACAACACAACACACACAAGAAAAAGGGGCTGATAAAAAGTTTGGTACAATGATCTTAAAGCTCTCCTTAAACAACGTTATTTTAGCTCAAAACATTTCCAACCGAAGCACTATCAGCAGAACAAATTAAGCTGATCACGTTCCGTGGTATATCGCAAAGTACAAAATTCTGCATCGTAGAATAATAGAGTAACTCGCTGCACAACGAGAGCTCTGAAATTCATTATTTTGACTCCTCTGCTAATTCTAGTGGTACGCAGTCGAACGGAACACTGCCAAAACTTCTAAAACGAAAGAGAAAATATACTTAATGCGGTACACCGTTAAAAATCCAGCATCGATCGCAGTGGTTGCACTGGCAGCGATCGGATCGAGCGGTAAAGTGAAAAATCGAACTAGCGGAAAGATAAATCAAAGGCGAGAGCGATTAACAACCGCTTAACAGAGACTCTGGCCAGACCACCGATCGCACAGACGTGAATTTCCCATTAATCACGGGGGACGCGACGATCTAAGGATCTCGCCGCGTTGCGCCGACGCTGCACCGACGCGGCATGGAAACGCGTGCAACGTCTGGAAAGATGTACGTACCCCGGCCCAGGGGAAACGCAGTTATCGGTTTTGTAACGCGACGCGTAAACCCGGTCGAAAACGGTGCCTGGCGAACCGGCGTACATTATTTACAACGTGTTGTCACCCGCCGGGCCATCTGTAATGGCTGTTTTATGCCCCATTAAGATTATGCTCGGTGCTCCTCCTCGTGCACACCGTAGAGATCCACGGGATCCCCTGCGCCACCATTGATTTATTCCCGAATCGGTTACGCGTTTTATGGCCGGTGCACCGCTCCTGCCACCGGCCGCCTGCGATTAACAAACGTTTAACGCACCTCCGGCGACAGAAAAAACCACGAGCACGACTCTGTCATGGTGGCGACTGTGCTTGCGATACTCGTGCGGTCGAAAGCCACTTGCAGACAGATTTTGCGGTGCCAGGAACGCGGTAACACGACTTGCATAATGACGTTCGCGATCACCGTTCACGGATCCGGGAAAAGTATAAACAATCTGTTCGAGCTTCTACGAGGAAGTTCTGCGCATCGCGGTATTTCGTTTTATCGCCGGCAGAATTTCCACTCGAATGCCAGACGTTTTAGCGAATATTGCAGACGATTAATTTGGGGAATTCGACGCGGAAACGTCGTTCCTAAAATAGCGATCCACTCGAAGGGAGACTTATGCTTTGCAGAGAATGTTCTTTTTTAAACCAGTTAGCTGTTTTGCAGTCTATTTGAAAATAATGCATACTGCAATTATAGTGCAATTATACTGTACGTGTAATAAATTTGAACCGCTATCCGCCGATGGCCCATTTTTGGGACACTTTTCCAAATTCTTTTTCTTTTGAAAACTGCAACTTCTAAATAAAGTACAGGCGTTGAAATAGTGAAAATTTCCGCTATTTTGTTTTAAATCATTGTAAACTTCAGGTTGAAACTGATAACCTCGATTTAATTGTTTTTGTATTTTTGAATTGCGGCGAGCAACGAATTAACAAGTTAAAAATAGTGCATCGATAGTCTTCTATTATTTTAATGTGCTTAAATGTGTTTAAATAGCTTCTACTCATTTTTATTTCGTATGCATAAAATCCGCAACCTAGTAATAACCAAAAACAATAACATGATTTGTCTATTTTTACCACAATTTCTGCAATACCACACAGAAATGGAAACTTCGATAAAAGTGTTCAGTTCGTTGAAAAAAATCGCTAAAAAGATCTGAACAGATGCATCTTTAATTTATACTATCACAACATTCGAGTCTTCTTCCACTATCCACATGTTTGGACGCATAAATATGCGAATGACCGCGGCCAAATTACGACTTCAAATAACAAAGACGTGATCTTAAGTAACCAGTTGTTGGCGATGAAACGCACGATCTGCATTGTTCCGTATGCATCGTACAACTTTCCGGATCACGTGCGTCAACGATAAATTTTTGACTCGGCACCGTCAGAATCGTTTTCCTCGAAATTCGAGCGGAGATATCGCACGCGGTTTATCTAATGACGCGATTGAAGATGCCTCTCTCGCTCTCGCGCCGTTTGGACCGTTCCGCGGGCCGTTTAATCGGAATCGAAAAAATTCATTTGACTTCGCTCGCGATGATGATTGCTCTATCTTCCCCCTTTCGCGGAGATTTATGAATTGCGGGCCCGTTGCGTCACTTGCTCGCGCCGATAAAGGGAGCCTCGCGATTCAATTTGCTCCGCCGCGACCGCGTTGCACGCCGATATCCGACCGTGTCATTAATTAACGAGCCTCAACGATCTCGTTATCCGAATAACAGTCCTTTAATCAATCTTCTATGAGAGGGAAACGCGATCTAGCGACCGGTGACGCCGATTGGTCCGAGACATTATTGCGCGTAGACTGCACTCTATGCCAGTTGCAGCGAAAATAAAGCAAACGCATTGTTCTAGTTCCTATAAGAAAATTGGACTTTCTCGAATTTCATTGCATTTTTCATAAACGATAGAAGAGTAACAATCCCCTTGAAATAATGAATCGTACGCTGCACAAAATGATGTTTCTTAAAAATCTCCCCAATTTTTCCAAGCGCTGACATGCAAGATGATAAAATAAAATAGAATTTTGTAGTGTTCGATTAGTAATAAGCGTGGATGAGAGAGGTCGTAGCAAGAATTCTATAAGGGATGAAGTTCCATCGCGAGTGCATGCTTGCGTCAAATTCATTGTGAGACCATAATCAGCTCGAATCCTGCTCATGGTAAAACGACACTAACGGATATCGTTGCGTTTCACGTTATGGAAAACAGACCACGGATCGTCGACATCGATCTATCGTTTTCTTTTATCTATCCGATTGACCGCGAGAGCTTCTCTATCTTCGTGCGTCTGCGTGACTATACGCACCCGGATTTCCTTCTCATATTTAATAGCAAGCCTTATTAGAATCCGAATATTCTCCCTAATTGACGCTCGGATTGTGCTCAAAAATGGACAATTTAGGAAGAGGAGATCCGATTATTCGAGCATTTGCAACGTTTTTATAGTTGTTGACAATCGATAACTATAAAAATGAGCCGCAAGGCTCGAATAATCGCATCTCCTCTTTCCAAATTGTCCATTTTTGTGCACAAGCAGAGTGTCAATTAGAGAGAATTTACTGTAAATATGAAAACTGTTCAAAATCGATCTCACCGCCAACGAAATTAATCTGTGGAAAGTTGTGCGTGCAATAAATCTACGAAATCGAATCATCGACAATTTCTGAAACCGTAGATTGAATCTACCGACTCGAAAATAACGAATAGATTGCAGTGATCTGTGTACAAAATAAAAATTCTGTCGATGTTTTTATTGTTCTATTGTTCAAGGGTGGCCGAAGCGTCGACCGCGTAACTATTCCTAGCCTATCCCGCCTGTGTCTGATATTATCTATGCTTATTTTAAATTTAGACTTATTTTTGGCTTTAAATTACTGCTTTCCTTACGATCACTTAACACATACGATGCTGGTAGACCGCCGCCCGTAATTTATAAAAACAGGTTGCCCGTAATGATCAAAAGTTTGGCCACCCCTGTTCTATGTATATCCTACCTATAGATTTTTGTCATGGATAAAATCCGCAGCTTAACTCGTTCCGTGCCACGTGTACCATCGATGGTACACGCTTGCATGTTTACTTAGTGAACTGAACAAATTGTTTACAAGAAATTTAGAACCGAAGAATCAATTTCCACCGCAAGAATGGGCGTTGATAAGTTTTTGTTACGTTGTTATGTGTACGAGAATTAATAATTGCACGTAATACATCAAGTTTTAGTAAAATATCAAAGTGTGAAGATTCGAGTAAAAAAAGCTCGGCACGGAACGTGTTAATAACGAACCTACCGTTTCCTAGTCAGGGTGAGCCGCGATCAAAGAACGAGGTCGGTGCAGATCTCGCGTGTTCTCGACTGTTGAATCGAACGCAAAATATCGTTGTATCTAAGGTCAGCTTCCCTCGACACGGATAAACGTACTATGAGCGTTTCGGTTGCTGGTGGCACTGACTTCGAGCACTATCTACTTCGTCTTGTCGCTGTAGGTCAAAGCCATTGCATTCTACCGACGTTTCATTGATGCGTTCTTGGGAAATCTGCGATTTGCAGAAAATTCTTGCCACCTAATTAGGGACGATCGCAGATATACTCTTAATAGGCAGGAAAAATACTAGGATTGTGTACAATGCTTAATTCCAAATGGTTGGTAAACATTGCGAACCGGTATTATTTCTTCGTTTAACTTTATTGAAAGCTTTCTTTCAATTAAGAATTGTTTTTTTCGTTCCGTAAATACGATAAGATACACCTTACGAGTATACATAATAAATCGTGTGACCTGGACCAACGATGGCCTCATATGGATGGAAAGTCGTATTAAGAATTTCACTTCGTAGTTAGTTCTACAAGTCTGCTACAAATCTACGTTTCGCTAAACTAATTCCAAGAAGGTCTATTTCAAAAACGGAACTCGACCATCTGTCTTCCAAATTAATAATACAGATCTCAATTTGCACCTTTCAAATGAACGTGTAAGAATCTGAGATACTTTTGCTACTTTTGATACTTTTTATTCCGGAGCTGCAAAATTCTATCTCATTTTACTACGGATTTTATGGATCTATGCTAGGATTGGCGAGGTGAAATACCAACAAAAATGAAGACACTAGAAGAATTTAAGTATATTCCAACATTAATTTATTGAAATTATCAAAGGAGGAAATACGATTTTATTGAACTTCTGAACAATCGATCAAGAAAATTGTGATTTTCCGTTAAAGATCCGCATCGCTAAATTCTACCGCAACAAAAATTTATTAATACTCTTTCTGGAATCGAGTAAGTGGCAGCGTACTTTTTTGGCAGCACTGCACGCCGAGATCCAAAGCTTACAGATGACGAACAGGTCTTCCGCAAGAAGAAGGGCTCGACGCATCGAGCGACTACTCATCACCCAATCAGCCGAACCGAAAAGATCGAGGGCCCGGCGAAAAAACCCGGCATCGCGTGAGTCCGTTGCAAAGATTCGCAACAACCACGGTGCAAAAAGCACTATGCTCCGATAAGCATCGAGAGGCCACGTGCTGCCGGTAATTGCGTTAGAGCAGCGACGCGTCGCCGGCCGATCGCGATCGGAGCGTGGCGAAATTCAGCCGCGGCCTCTGTCTCGCAGAAATCTCGCGAGAGAGCCCGATTATCGGGGGTGGCTGGTATCGTAAATAAGCGAGCTAACCGACCAATTAGCCAGGAAGCCGATTCGCTGGCGCGTCTGACGGTGTTCTGGGATCGGCCGCCGATCCCTGGGGACCGCGACGGTGACGGCGCCGGGTGGCACAGCCTCGATTATCTCCCGAACCGTCGTTGCTTGTCACCACGAATCGTAACGCGTCTTCTGGGCCCGCAGTCCAGTCGACACGAGTCGCTCGAACACGAAACTACCCGGTCCCACGACAGGGTTGGCCGAGAACGCACGTCCGAGTGTTCGCCAGCCTTCGGAAGATTAGAGAAGCTCGGGCTCTGAGGGACTCCGACAGTGAACGGTGATCGACGCTTGGTCTTTTCGATTCTTTCCCTGATTCGCTGACTTTGTGCTACATTGTAATTGTCTGTATTAGTTGAATTTAATAGAACCTTCGGTTAGAGAACTTCAACTTAGAGAAACAGACTTGTTGCGACTGTTTCGAGGACTTTCTGCCTTTGGAAAAATTTATGCAAAACATTTTGGATACTGAAGCCGAGCTAGGATGAAATTCAGTACTCGAAGAGTCCAATTTTTCTGATGGTTGCAGCGTCCGGCAACTTGCTCGATTATTTTCGCGGCGTTCTTCCGACAAATATACATATATAGGCAAATTTTTACAATCGAATTTACTGTGGTACAGCGATCAGAATTGTTATCGTCGGGACAGAAGAACAGTGAAGATTGCGAAGGAACATCTGCCGGCGCAGTTCCATCTGTTGCATAGAATCCACATCGGAGTGGAGAGAAAGAGTGGAGATCCAGCAGTCGATCCAAAATAGAGGAAGCGTACAGGAAAAAGTGAGGATTGCAGAGGAAACCAATTGATAACGAGACAGATCTATCAGTCGATTAGATTGTGACCACCGGGAGGAAGAGGAACATCTAGTAGTACAAGCCAAGTTTGCATCGCAGTGCTACTGTGCACGGTCCGATCGTCTAGCCGAAGCGAAAATCAATGTATTACAGCAGGATCCGAAGAGGTTGTAACGTTTAGAAGCTGTTCTAGAGCTCGATAATTAACTCATAGAATTCTATGTTTTCGCTGAGAACTTACGAGAAGTCGATCTAACAGGCTGTAAAATTAACAGTGGAAGATCGATCTTCCGGCGCAGATAGCTCTTGGACGAGGATTTTTAATGTCCTGGTGAAAAGACTGAAGGAAAAGCACGGGTTGGTTGATACTGTACAACAACAGCGGGAGCCTTGTAACAGTGGCAATCGGAAGTGATAATGCGTAGAGGAAATCGGGACAGTGACTAATGGTGGAATAATTGCAAGTGAACAATTAATTAAGTCAAGCAAGGACGACGAATCGATTACATCTGTTCTACCGAAATATTTCGAAGACTATACGAAACAGGATGATCGAAGACGCTACGATATTCGACGTGAGTTCATGCCGATCGATAATCTTGATCAATTTCGATGTTCCAAAATTGATAAAATTAGATGAATGTAAAGAGGAATTTTGTATTTTGCTCGAATGGAATGTTGTTTTGAGAACGGGGACAATTTTTTCATTGAAACTTCCCAATCAAAATTAGTATGATCCGAGGCTTCCGGGTGGAAGCTGTGACAAATTATATCGTACTGGCGCTTCTATGCTGATAGAAGGTATCAGTGTCTCGTCCGATGTTGATGGGGCTGCCTGTGACACGCTGACAATGTAATCGGATCGCTCGAATCTTTTTTTCCACGGAACTGCAAAGTGCTCGTTAATAGCCTCCTATCGCCTGCGTATCGGTCAATTAAAGTTACAAATATCGGAACTGTATCAAATAATTTCATCGGCAGCTACTTTTCTGGGGGTGGTTTTCGGTTTTCTTGCTATCGAATATTTAGATTAATTCCAACGAAATCATCCTTTATCCGCACCTCCTTACGTTTCGATTGTTCTCGCACTCGGTCCTCAGAGATCATGTTTCGATCCTCAAAGTGAACGCAACAATCGATCTGTGACAAATGGCCCACTAATTCAATCTTCCACTAGTCACGCATAAACATTTTGCATCGCGGATGAGTAAGCGCAACAAAGACAACAGAAATTTCGCTATCTTTCTCTCTCGCGAACCTGATAACTCGAAATAGAATTGAATTTTAATCGAGAGATATAGAGCGTCCATGGCGCGTGACTTATTGCCGGTATCTGAGCCCGGTCGATTAAACCACGTCGAAGTTCCCAATAAACAAAGTCTTCAGCGTGGCTCGGAGGACCCCGATTAATTGCTACTCACGAATCTTTGCTCGCAGATGACGGACGAGCTGTTGTTCTCCGCGCTGGGCCTGACTACGGACGCAGGCGTCGAGCAACAACTGTTCTCCACAGACCAGGGCACCTTGGACTGCGACTTCGAGGTGTCCTCCTGCGGAACGACGCCTCGCAGCGACTATTCAGAACCCATTGACAACCGTGTGAACAACGCTGTCAACCATTCCGACTACTACACGGATCTAAACTGCCCGACGAAGCTATTGTGGAACGAATGGCCCAATCAGACCTCCGCTTCCTCAGGTACACAGTCGAAACCGCGAACGACAATAGCCTTTTCAATCTTAGACCGATACCGAAACTGATTTCCGATACCTTTGGTAACTCTCTAGTCGTTGAATTTCAGTGTTTTATCTGAGGGCACCATTAGGAAGGATAGTAAAACTATGTGACTTCGGGGAACTTTTACCTTGAAGACTATCGGCAATATGGGAATAAACTCTCTTGGAATTTATAGGTGAATCCTTGGACCACGCGAAAACACTATTTTTCAAAAAGTTTATACATTTAGTCGAACTCGTATCATTGAAAGCAATGGGTATATTTTAGGTTCAAATGTTAGATTAGATTAGAAGTACTTTAATTGTTTCCCGTGTCTGCGGACATTTTTGGGAAGTTCCAGCGTGACACGTTTCGTAGCCAATCATTTGTCAAGAGATCGGATTTAATTAGAGAAGTTGAATTCGAAGAACGTTGTTTAATGTGTGCAGGATGTCTGAGCGAGCTGGGCGAGCTAGACTCGGAATTGGAATGGTGCCTAGATAAAAGTTGGAACTCCGGGCTCCCGGAGAGGACACCATTGTGCACCGAGGGGTGCGAGGGTTTTCTACACTTGCCCCTGCCAAACCCTGAACAAACGTTTCAACGGGAAGAACCACTATGGGTGCTTGGGATCGATTTGAGAGCACTCGAGGATACTTTGGAAACGAGCGGAGTAGGTAAGTTTCGAGTGCGGTATTTTGCCAACGACAGATCGCTGAAGATAGTCTAGGTAATTTGGCAACGTTGACTTCGGATAAAAGAACCCGCCAAAAAGAAACCCACCACAGTTTCATTGAGACATTTCTTCCTCTTCTAATTAACTCCACTGCAGATAGATCATTTTTAATTAAAGATTTACAGTTTATTAACAACGATTGCAACTTGAATGTACTTGGATGATTGCAGATTACAACAACAATCAATTAGAGGAGAACCTCATCTCGTCAGCAGCTGCAGCGGCACTAGCAACCCACGACTACACTAATCGTACTCTGGCGAATGCAGCTGAAGACCGGTGCTTCCCTTGCACTTATCAAGGATGTGTGAAGGTACGTCAGATCATAGACTAATGGTCTTTGTTATGGTGGTAATGGTTCTTTGTTCAGCTAAAATGTACCTAGGAACAGATACTCTTGAGTCAACTAGGTGCTTGGACACCCATCCAGACTAATATCCTCGTTCTTTGTTCTTCGTTACAATGATTTGCCTTGGTAGTCATAGTCAGATCTATTCAAATCTTTATGAAGCAATTCTTCTTTATAATATCTTTGAACCTACTTCTTCTAGATCAATAATAATGATTTATACTACTTACTAAGAAGTTAGAATTTAGTGAAACATTTGTAATCATAGAATAAAATCAATACATTGGTAAAATACCGATCAGATGATTGACTCAAGTATCAAATAACATTTTGAGCTAGTCGTAACGATACATTTGATTCTGATTATTCAACGTGTTAATAATTGTATCTATTCCTGATCGATGCAGGTTTACGCAAAAGCGTCGCACCTGAAGGCACACCTTCGCCGTCACACAGGTGAGAAACCGTTCGCTTGTACATGGGCCGGGTGTGGATGGCGTTTCAGCCGGTCGGACGAGTTGGCCAGGCATAGGAGGTCCCATTCTGGGGTGAAACCGTACCCCTGTGAGATGTGCTCGAAGCGATTTGCACGCAGCGATCACCTAGCCAAGCATCGCAAGGTGCACAGAAAGAACACCTATCCTCTGTTCCACGGTGGCAGAGGACTACGTGGAGGGAAGATGAATGTTCTACCCACGGAAAGCTAGCTACACTCGTTTAGAGCACTCGCCATAAATTGAAGAGTTGTTCCAAAAATCCTCTCCGTGACTTTCTTGCGCGAAGTACTTAATTAAGTATTGTTAACGGTCTCTTAACGCTAGCTGAGACGAGGAAACGACTCACGAATTGAATCAAAATACAATTGAAATATACGGCAACCCTCGCAATCCCTTCTGTTTGTGTAAGATTTATATCAATGCTAAGATTTTAAAAAATTAATTTAAAAATCAATTTTGATCAAGATTAATTGCTTTAGAAGAGAATTTTAAAAGAAGTGAAACAGGCGAGCAGAGTTCTTTTGTAGTTTGTTTCTATGATGGTTTACATGACAAGTCTTGAGAAATTATAATAAATAATGTTGAAAGTGTCTTGTCTCGTTCAATGATTCCTTTACAACTACTTGCCCGCAACATTTCATTACGTTGTAGCAATATTAAAATATTAGAATAAAGATCTAGCAATACTTTAGCAATGCAATAAAATTCACAACAAAACTCACCTCATCCTTCGAAAAGGGTTTCCTAGGATTTATTATCTCGCTGCGTTTCCTCCATGTGCCCCAATATGGCGGACGTCTGTTCTCTTTGAACTGGAGTAATTTAGTCCTCTGTTTCTCTACGACGATGTCCTGGTTCACAATATTCGCGTTGCCATCGTTGTCGTCATCTGTAAGCAAGTACACAAGATTCAAAACTTGCTACTAAATAAAAATATCTTCAAAAAATATGTATCCCCTACACCGAACTTACCTAAGAGAACAACATCATCGTCTTTGGTTTCTAGCGGCCATGTTTTCGACGACTTGCGTGGAACGATTTTCTTGTTCTTAAGATTGCTGAGATACAGTTTTGCTTCTGATATTACTCTGTTTTTAGTATTATCTAGCGTGTCTTTTTCCTCTTCGCTCAGGTTTCTTCTGCAGACTGGTGCCAGTTTCATGTCCGCTTTTACCTCGAAAGGCATAAAGTTCTGGACTTTCTTGGTGCTCTCTTCTTCCACAGATTTTTGCTTTTTGGCGACGAAGAAGCTCGTGAAGTTCGAAGCTGCCTTCTGCTTCCTCCGCTCCGCTTCTAATTTCTCTTCTTCCTTCTTTCGCTTTTCTTCCTCTCTAGCTTCATCTCTTTTCCGACGCTCAACTTCCCTAGCTTGCTTCTCCTTCTGCTTCAGTCTGCAAAAATGAAAGTCTTTTTAGCTTTCAAAAATGTTAAATATCTTAAGAAGTTTAGTAAGTATTCTTACTCATATTCTTGTTGCCTTCTCTGTATCTTCAGGCTTTTCTCCAATATTCTCTGCTCTTCTCTCTGTCTGCGTTTTTCTTCCTTCTCTTTTCGCCTTTCTTCTTGAATCCTGTCTCTCTCCTAACAAATCAAAAATAAATATTAGTTAATGAAGAAGAAATCAAGAGAAAATACATATAGCCTAACCTATTTACCATTCGTAACTTCTCCTTTTCCTCCCTCTTCATGTCAAAGTACAGTTTCCTTTCCAATTGTTTTGGCGTTAATTGTTTCTCAATAAGCTGATCAGCTGTTGAAGTGCTAGGCTCGCTCGAGTTAATATTTTTTCTACTCGTATCCACATTTTCTGCCAACTTTTCTTCTGACTGCTCTTGGCTTTCATCATCCAAGGACTTGACTGTTACGGAGGAATCATTAGGATTCACAGAATTATTTATTTCTGTCTCCTGTTTAGAGTTGCTGGATTGTGAAGCCACATTGTCGGCTTTTGATTCAAGTTTATCATCAGATTTATCACCCAATTTATCATCCAATTTATCATCAGTTTTACCATCCAATTTATCATCAGATTTATCATCCGCTTTACCATCAGATTTATCTACAGATTCATTTTTTAAAGTTTCTGTGTGCTGAGTAGAACTGCCAGGCTGTGAAGCTGCATAGTTGGCCTCCAATTCAAATTTATTACTAGATTCAACGTTTGAAGCCTCAACTTTCTCCTCAGTTTTTGTAAGGTATTTTGTTAAAGGACTCAGTTTAACTACTGCCTTCTGAAACTCCTTTGGTTCCTGCTTCGAAGTTGTATCCTTATTTTTACTTTGATCCTTGTTTGTAGTTGCATTTTCATTTAAGTTCTCCATGTCACTGTCATCTGCGATATCTATGTACTCATGATGAATACTTAGTTTATCAACTGTTATTTTACGATCCATGGATTTGCTTTTCCTTGAAATTTTAATACCCTTACACTCCATGGATGGAGATGATAATTTTCTCTTTTTGGTTTGTGTAACACTTGTAGACCCTATGGGACTTCGTTGGAATGGTAATTGTGCTGAAACAATATATTCATTCCAAATATGAAACAAATATTCCTAAGAATCATGAAATATGCCTTAATGATAAATATTTTGATTCACTTTTTACACAATGATGAAGGCACTCACCTTGTCTCAGCTTCTTTTTCTTGGCAGGAGTATTCACATCTACACAACTATTATTTTCCCTATCATTTTCCATCATTTTCATCCCAGATGTCTCTGCAAGTAACACAAATAGAAAATACTATTATTTTAGAGTAATAACACATTATCTGTAGCATCATAAAAATACTGGGAAAACCGAATAAATTATTTAATGAAACAAAACAATGAAAGTCAAGATTGCTTAAAGTCATTACTAATTTAATTTTTTTATATTTCACAAAACCTAATTTGGTAAGCCTGCTATATTAGTATAAAAATGAATTTCGATTATAGACAGTTAATTACTTGACTGACCTAAACAATTGGAAATGTGAACTGTTTTTTATAACATTACGATCTTTTATATCATAACAATCTGTCAATAGCACATTCTTCTAACCTAAGTAATAATCTATTCTAACAATGTATTTGGCTCAGGAACTATCATCGACCACTTAAGTAACATGAACAAACTCGAAAATTATTTAACTACGTACAGATACACAATTATTATAATTAAAAGAACTACTTGCACAAAAATAAAATGTTAAGAAAGCATCATGTCGGTATCACAATCGTAACAACGAAATCCGCGGGAAAATAGACTATGGAAGGGGAATTACACTAGTGCCTCACCATAGTAAGCCAAGGCGGGGGCAACCGGCTTAGAATTATGAAACAGGTAGAGAAACTGCTTCTTCTCTGATTGGTTAACGCTTCACAGCTAAATAGTGCTGCCCTCATAGTTTTAGACAAAGAGAGGAAGTGATGAGTGAGCAAGAGAACATCACATCAGCGCAACCACAAGTAAAACAAGTCACACCGACGATCGATTTAGCTTGTCTCACTTTACCATGCTTGCGATCTCACTCTATTCGCGCATCCGTTTGCCTGGCGCTCCATTTGAAATACTTGGCGCGATATTCGACTTGTACTTTTCGCCCAGTAAGATTCTCGACTGCACATCCAGCGTATTTACAAATGTCTTGAAACAGCGACCATTTCTAGAACTATTAAAATTTTCGAAAACCCGTAAGTTACATTCGTAGCTAATGGTTTCTAATTTGTTTAAATTCAGCCATCCCAGCACTTGTCAACTGGGACGGCCAACAAACAATATTCTACTCTACGAGAAGGAGTTTCGTAAGCAACGAATAATTTCACATTTATCAAAGCTAGGAACAAAATGTTGTTTATGGGCTAGATAACATAGGAAATTATATTTTATTATCGCATCGATATTATCACTTTTGGAGTAAATGAAGCGTAAAGTCGATATTCGCAGCCCGTAATTCTCGCGTTTGAACCTCGCGCATACTCTCACGCCCATGCCCGTGTCTCAGATACCTTGCGCCTTTGCAATGACAAAGCAATTCGGCTGAGAAGGCCCCCATCACTACACCCATCTTGCGCACTTCGTGGCCCGAGATTTGGGTTTGTGATCCGTCCATTTTTAAAAGTAAAAATCATATAAAATTGCGAAATTATTCGTTGTAGTATTGGGATAACTGAATTAACAATTTTAGAATTTTCTAAACTAGAAAGTATTACCTAAAATGGAGCTTACGGATTTTAAAAAATTTTAATAATCGTAGAAATGGTCACCGTTTCAAGATGTTCGTAAATACGCTGGATGTGCGGTCGAGAATCCTACTGGGCGAAAAGTACAAGTCGAATATCGTGCCACGTGCTTCAAATGGAGCGCCAAGTGTACGGATGCGCGAAAAGAGTGAGACAACAAACACGAGATAAAGTGAGACAGCCTAGGTTTCTCGCCCGTATGGACACTCACACATGTTTCGTTCTGTCTCTGGCGATCATCTCCCGTTCTCCCTCTAAAGCAACTGCGCGGATCTGGATGCGCATTAAAATGGTGGGGATAAGAATGCTTACTATGGTGAAGCAGAATTGCTTACTACGGAGAGGCGGCACAATATTCGCGAGCCGCCTATTTCCATGAACTGTAATTTCACTAGATCGGTACATAGATATAGGAAAACAGAAAATCTAATCAACCTTAGTGACCTAGCGATTGGTGACACCAGTTTCAACGGAAATATCCAGTTATTTAACAAAAAATCAGTTTTTAAAAGCATAAAATGAACTCATCGTAAAGTACGATCTTTCGTTTTCAATTGAGGCTCTCAAAAGTGTAGAAATTCTCACTAGAAGATGTTTTAAAATTACTCAGAGTAACGCGTTAAAAGGTCAAATGGTGCGTGCTTTTCTTCAAGTAGCTATCGAGATTTTTGAATTGTTCGACATGATTTCGAATATTCTTTTTAATCAAAATGAATTTATCGTAAAGTGCGATCTTCCAGCTTTAATTTGAGACCTTGAAAGCTCGAAAATTTCTTCGGTATTCGATGCAAACTGTGTAACATTATTCCGTAGCTAGAATGCAGTATTGCAATACATATGTATATCTGACTTTCTTAGACGTAGATCTCTGGCGGCAGATCGGCGAACTCATTGTTAATTCGATCAATGTGAACGAATCATAATAACGTATTGAGGTTTTCAATCGTGCGGTTGCCTAGGTAGCCATAGGCGACGAAATATGTTTGGCGTAAACAAACTAGTTTTCTGACAAGTTGAATTGTTCGGTGAAAATCAATCGCATATGACAGTTATCATTAGTGGGTATCGGCAAAATGACATCTCTAGATTTAAGGCAACAGAAACTAGAACAACAGGTACAGAATTCGATTCAATTTCAAATATGCTTTAATATCTTTCGTTTTATTCGTTCGACTTCGCTCATTTTTACATCTGAGCGATGCATATTTTTTTTAATATTTTGGAAACAATGAACCTTCACAGCGTTACGCATTTTTCACATGGAATAATTTATGTTGCGAATATACAATCGCGGTTTACAATCAATTAGGCGTTAGTTGTAATAACAAAGATTTATTATAAATTAGATTCAAAGTAGGTCACATTTAAATATTCATCGAATTTGCTCTACATGTAAGGTCATTAGAGAAAGCAAGCACTCTTTCTACGAGTTTCTATATTTTCAATATGTTATAGTGTAATGACATTTGTTTTCTTATTATTTCGATTTTTGTTACAAGTGATTTGTATTTATTTGCAGAGGCAATTGATTGCTCAAAAAATGAAACAAAAGAGACAAAGCGGAGCTAGTGGAATGGTTCAGGCATCTAATATATTAAGTACTCAACTAACAAGTCATTCCACTAAGTGGATGAATCCTAATAAGGAGCTCCGTGGTAATTTTGTAAAGTTATTAAAAATAAAATACATTCAAATTTCAGTGACTTGACTTTATACACTGATAGTACTGCAACTCAAAGATTTTAGATTTCTCTTTAAAATTCAAGTCTTATAGAGGTTTGACTCTATATTATACTCAATAAACTCTTTTGAATTTTTCCAGGATACGATGGGCCATTGCAATTCAACGTGTCACAGACAAATACAGAGTTAAGTTCATTCACAGAGAACAAGGACATGGAAGCTAGAATAAATGGTATAATAAACTAGTAACATTTAATAGATTAAATGTTTTCTACCCTGTAACTACATGTAACTACATGTCCTTTTGAGTAGAAGTGAGTGCAGAAGGAGGTTTCTACCAAGGCATGGAGGCTGCTGATTGCGCAGATGAGGAGTCATCGCCAATAGAAATACATTCTCCTTCTGAGTCTTTACCATGTCCTTCTCCTCTTAGAGTAGCTCCTTCCGATGGAGCCAACACATTTATCAATAGAGAGAATAATTCTTCGGTAAGCATGGTAACTTAATTGGAATAAATGGTATTTAACAGCATTTATATCACCTCAGAGTCCAGAACTAGAAGGGAACGTCGAAGGAAACATTGAGCATTTTGTACTTCAACCAGCAAATAAGAAAATGCATTATAAATGTAGAATAACACGTGATAGAAAGGGTATGGATCGCGGACTGTATCCTACATATTTTCTACATCTAGAGCGTGACTATGGAAAGAAGGTACATATTCACTGCACATAATTTTCCGCTTCAGTTCCTGAGAAAAATAGTTAAAAGAGTATTCACCTCCGTTCTAGATCTTCTTATTGGCGGGTCGGAAGAGGAAAAAGAGTACGACAAGTAATTATTTAATTTCTACCGATCCCACGGATCTTTCAAGGGCAGGAGAGTCTTATATTGGGAAGTTAAGGTCAAACCTTTTGGGGACGCAGTTCACGGTTTATGACAACGGATATTCGCTAATGAAGGATGACAAACGGGATGAACGTTTCAATCCGCGGCAAGAATTGGCTGCGGTAATTTATGATACCAACGTCTTAGGATTTAAAGGGCCAAGGAAGATGACTGTTATTATTCCTGGGATGACGTCGGATCAGAAAAGGGTCGAGATTTGTGCGAGAGATGAATCGGAAACGTTGCTTGGTAAATAGTAATTATTGTTCTATTTCTTTTTTTTTTTTTGGTAAAATATACAATCTAATGTCTGTTGTCTACGCAGAACGTTGGAAAACAAAGAACATGGACAATTTAATAGAACTGCACAACAAGACTCCTGTCTGGAACGACGACACACAGTCGTACGTGCTTAATTTTTATGGAAGGGTTACGCAAGCTTCAGTGAAGAATTTTCAAGTCGTGCATGACAGCGATGGTGTGTATTGTAGCTGTAGCTCGGAGCTCTTGGAAAATTTATCTGATTTTTAATTCAATGTTTTATTGTAGTTGACTATGTCGTTATGCAATTCGGCCGGGTAGCCGAAGACGTGTTCACAATGGACTACAGATTCCCACTGTGCACGCTTCAAGCGTTCGCCATAGCTCTGAGCAGTTTCGATAATAAGTTGGCCTGCGAGTAACAACCTAAATCCATCTGGGATTCGATCCTTACTAAGTATACACACAATGGGAAAATAATACCGATCGAAACGATCTACAGTGGACAATCAATAGATTGAACTGTCTTTATTTTATTTTTTTTAAATAGAACATCTAGGGACGATAGTTGTTCTACCGGAACCTGATATGTAACGATAATGAGTATAAATTCTGTGTTCACATTTCTTATATATGGAAAGCTTTTTTAAGTACTCGGTATACATGTTTTCTAGTTCCTTCGTACGTCGATAGGATAATTAATTGGTGGAGCTTTGTTGTTAACCGAAAATGATGACAGCAGCATAGTATGGGCATACGATGAATCGACAAATAACGTTCATACTGACAAGTCATGTCTTAAAACAGTGAAACATATCATGAAATTTATTTTGAACATATTTCATTGATCGATAGACCCATTGTTCGGTTATTGTTCTTTAAACGAGAAGGGAGAATCACGCGCGCTCAAACGTGATTAGAATTCCTGTACTATAATGATACTAATACACTGCGCAATTAACTGCCCAAGAAGATAAAAATATGTTTTCTTGCGTCGATAGTGAACAGAGTATGCGTTCAATCGGTTCCTTTTTAACTGGAAACGATTGATATTGTTACTAGACTGCAGAAACTTATGCGAATGTGTATTTCTAGAGAAAAATTTTTGACGGAATTAGCACAATAACAAATTTAATTTTTAATGAGAGCGAAATGAAACACTGAGTGTTGAATGTTATTGAAGTTGCTATTTTGATTACTATTTGATAATATTTTACAATGTAAAAGCATAAAGTTCTGCAGTCTAATGATCACATAATGCAAGGTTTATGCAAATTTTGGAGCACATTGAAACATAAAAGTATCACTTTGAGAAACTGCATTGGAGAAGGAGTATCTATTCGCACTTTACTGTTGGATATAAACGACTATTCACACTTCAACAAATTATCGCACTATATCGATTACTATTTTTTACACCCTTTTATTCGTTATTTTGCGACAGCATTGTTTTGTGTATATGAACATTATTGTACATTTTGAAGTGTCTTCAGCATTCGCACATATCCAAGTGATTGTTATTACAAATCATTGTTCATGGTATGCATGTATGTATAGGGTAAATCGTCTATCTCTGTCACATTAAATCTCATGTAAACTGTATGTTACGAAAATTGGGATAGTCTGTTTTCTCGTTAAATAACCACTGCAGTTTCAACTATAGCAACGCACAAAAAATCATGAATATAGCTTAAACGTACATAAATAAGTCTACAAAGTTTCATAAAAATATAATATGTTTGATTTGTCCAAAAGGAAGTCCCAAATCATACCTTCTATGCCAAGTTGAAAATTTCTTGAACAGTTTTATTTATCTAAAAAATTTGGCACATAACAAATAGTTTATAGAAAATTTAAGGTGGCAGAGATAATTAGGTGATTCTTGCGAGTTTATCATTCGAGTATTCATGACGAAGTATTAGACTGCGGATTTTATGCATTTATAGCGAAACGAAACGGTAATCCGGAAAAGTTTAATAATACTGTTACACTATTTCCATTACAATAATCATTAAAAATAAAAATCAATTTTTCTACAATGCTCTTCTGCAATTGCACAAAAATTTTGATATTGCATACAAATCGGCAGTCTAACCAAGTATCATTCCAGGTACATATCGTGTATATTTATTTGATCGAGCTTATCCGAATTGCTCGTCCTTGTCATTGATGTATAAGATTTACGCGTTTAGTGGCAAAACCAAAGATGCAACTGTACTCGTGTGTGGTGCGGACAGAATTAGCGGACAAGCAAAAATTAATTAACGTAGAAAACGTTTTCAATGCCGTGCCTTTGTGTAACGTTGATTGACGCTAGTTACAATTGTTCCGAGGGAATCTGCACGCGACATTCGATACTCAGCAATACATGCAGTCCAGACAATATTTAAATAATATTCATACGCGTGTAGGAACATCTTTGAATAGTATCATCGGTTATAGATGGACTGCGGATTCTGATGCATACAAGTGTTCTATCGCTTATCAGAAAAATTGGTAATTTGCTACACGAATGAAATGATTTTCTCAGAAAATGAAAATTCACGTAATCCTCGTGTGTTGGTACTTGATAGTTTTAGTATTTTTCATACTTTGTACCCGTACTATTTTCCTCGATAATCTTGCATGTTGTTTTTAATCTATAAGTCTATTTTGAATCATTTTCCAAATCTACGTATGGTTTTACTTGTGACAAATCTTAAATACCAAAGCTTTCAAATTGTTTATACACGAGGGTTAACAATGAAAAATCCATAAAATGCACAAATGTCCGTAGTCCAGTTACAGTAAAAAGGGTACCCTTGTTTGTTGCGCCGTTGCAACAATCGATTTAATTTTTATCGAACGCACTGTGCAGCGCAGTGTTTTAATTATTCCTTTAAGACTGGAAGACTAATTGTTTCTGTGTCGCCTCGTGTTGCTCGGTTAGAAGCTCGGACTATTAACGATAGCTATACTTTTAATCCTATAAGCCGAGTGAGACCGTGAATGATCTGTAGTATTGCACAAGAGATCACAAAAAAGTGTTGAACGGTTTATATCTTTGTAAATTTTATACTCCCCGAATTTCGTTTATTGTAATACACGCGAAAGCAAAAAAAAAAATGCGCGTCTCATCAAACCTGAAAGGTGCTATTATAAAAAGAACTGCTAAAAAATTGATTAGTCGAACGAGGGAGGGGAACCACTTTATATATATATAACTATATATATATAGAGTATATATATATTTGTAATTAAAGAAAACAGTATTAATATTATTTAGAACGCCAATTGGATATTTTATAATAAGTGTAATATTTCATTTTCTCATTTTCATATTATTTAAAATATTGAGTAGCTTTAAGGATACATTGAATGCCGCTTAAAACGCGCGCGCGTGTGCGTGTATTAGGAGACCTTTGAATTGAACAAGACCTGTAACTAGCTTGTCACGATGAATATTGTAAATTACATTCAAGTGTTCAATGGGTGTTATATTTTCGACGGTCACCTGGAAATAAATACAAACTGCAAGTCTCCTCTGCGTTTCCATTGCGTGATTGTTAGCTGTACGAGTACTTGTGAAACTTCTTTATTGTTCATAATTAGCGATCAACAAAGTGTGCGCAATCGCGCATAAGTATCGCTTATCGAACGGAATGGTTCGTTTCGTTGTGTGGCACTATAAAAAATAAAAGAGAGAAAAACGAGCGAATACGACGTTCGCGACCGGTTCGGCAGTGCCTGGGTTCACGTTGACCCAGTGCTTAAAAAGTTCGATTACTCAGCTTGCGACAAATGATTTATAACGTCAGCTGTCCGATCAGATGCAACGAAAAAATTTAAAACATTTAACTGGTCCCAATCATTGCCAATTGTGCAGTTGTCAGGAATGTCCACTGTTCCGTGGATTAACAAATATAAAAGCATAGCAATTTCACCAATCGTTTGCTATGGTTCGACGTCTCTTATAATTACGTTGTTAAGTAATCGAATCACGTGTTTTCAGTCCATGTTTTCTTTTTCGAAACAATAATCCAACTGCAACGTTATGCAGGCCTGCACTCCTGCCGGTCCGCATTGTCTGGCCAGTCGCAAATATTGTTCACCGAGTTCCAGATCAGACGATTAGGGCACGAGAACTTCACTGGCCTCCCATGAACGCATTCGTAGTACTGCGAAAGAGAAGGAGGAACGTCATCGTTAAAATGGGTGCGATACATAACTGTGAGTATAATTTTGGTGCTTTCGATAATCCGACAGAAATGATAAAAGATTTCTTAAAAATTGGATGTTGCTAGAAAACATTCTGAAATTTTTATTTAACGCTATGTATACTTTTTACTTCGCAGTGCTGTGGATGACAAGACGAGCTCGACAACCTCGCGATTCGGAAATGATTATTACGGGCTTGAAGTGACCTCTCGAATTTGGAAATGTAAGGTATGTGAAGAGAAACATCGTGGTAGAATTGCATAAATAAATTGAACGTTTGCATCACTCTAAGTTAAGAATGACTCCATACAAATTGCATTTCTGTTTGTTGAAAATCAAAGTAGGATTTTCGGTTGCCGTACTTACTATGTTACAGTTTTTCGACGTAAGAAACTTGTCGCCATCTTTGCATTCGATCTTCTCATCCCCATTGTCTCCGTTCGGTGATTCGGTGGGTTTCCACTTGTTTGTATCCTCGGTGGTTGACGTTGGAGTTTCCGATGTGGACGGTGGTGCTTCCGGCTTCTTGGTGGTTGTTGAAGTAGATGGCTGTGTAGGTGGTGATGTTGTCGGTGGTTCTATAGATGGTGATGTCGGTGACTGAGCAGGTGGTGGTCTTGTCGTTGGTTGTGTCGGTCGTTGTATAGGTCTCTCGACAGGTTTCGTCGAAGGTGCTTGAGTTGGTCGCACACCATCCGACGAAGGTGTGCTCGGTGGTCTTGCCCATTCAGGCTAAAAGCACCAGAATATTAATGGAGTTTCCTCATTTATCTCTGCAGTGCATTTTGTTCATTGCAGTCTTGCAATCGCACCCCAAAAGAATGATTAAACGTAATCTAATCTAATCTAACGTAGTCTAATCTCTGTCAATACGTTCGTTAATTAAGCATCACGAGTTATTACCGTGGGGGTAGTGTGGAAGTTTTTGTCCGTAACAACGTATCCTTTCAAGCCTTGGTTGATGGTGTTCATCAGGGGGTTGCGTTCGCCGCAGAGTCCTTGGAAGTCGTCCATGTCGATGGCCCAGACCATGGCGCCTCCGTATTGCTCTTTCTTGATGAAATCGATCTTGTACTTCACGCTCTGAACGTCCTCGTAACCGACCCATTGCGTTCCTACAATTATCCAATTATTATTAAAATATTCATTCGACGACAGCATAGAATATGCATTACCTTGGTACGTGTAAGGAACTTTGCCGACCTCGTCGACTTTCCGAGTCCAATTGCTGCCTGGGGCTTGCAGCCTGGTGCAGATCTGAAAATGTTTCGCAAATCTCTTCGCTAATTTATTATAACATGGAAAGATCCTCTAGCTTCTTCCCGAATTCTTCGATTGGAAAGTTTGAGGAGTTTGCGCCTTTTGCTCGCAGGAGTTTGAGACCTCTGTAAATCGGAACCCTTCTAGTTTGGTACCTTTAAAGATTCCAAACCTTTGAACTTGAAACCTACGACATCTCTGAAGGTTCTAGACTCTAGAATTTGACACCTTTGAAGCCTCCAGTGATGCGAAACCTTCGAGACTCTTGAAATTTAAAGGCTCCAACTTCTAAGTCTGACAGAGTAGATAGGAAGAAAAGAAGATTGCTTGCTAATTGACGATACCTCGTAATAAGAGAGAAATCCTTTGGCTCGAGTGTATTCGCCAGGAGCTCCTCCCCCAGCTTCCTTGTTGATGTAAGTTCCTGGCGAGTAATTGTTGTTGCTTTGGCTGAGGGTGAAGGTGCGACCATACAACGGGATTCCAACGATCAGTTTGTTGGCGGGACAGCCTTTCTCCTCCCAAAGCTGGAGACCGTCGTGCTACACAATTGAACGCCCATTGTGTAATAAGAAACAATACGAATAGCTATGTTCTGTGCGGACTGCAAATCGTTTGAGATTCTTACGACATTCAATTTCTCGTATGCCCATTGATCATGGGGTCTGCGATAAAGAGGGCTGTGAACATCCGCGAATCCAGCCCAGTTGCCACGAAGATCGTAGGACATCACGTGGATGGCGTCCATGTTCCTGTGAACGATACCGATAGCGTGTTAATATTTTCATTGAAAGATAGTCCCAAATAAAAAATGGGGAAACACGAGTGTTCACTGACTGGCACAATTCGGGAACGTGATATCCCTCGTCCAAACGGAATTTGGCCATGGGTACCGCCATAGTGAGCTCCCATCCCTTTTGCTCTTTGTCAAAGGCGCGTCTTATCTCCTCGACAAAGTAGAAGAAGTGGTTCTTGTCGGAAAAGCTGCCACCCCTGTCTGCGGCTCCAGGGTACTCCCAATCGAGATCGAAACCGTCGAAGTTATACTTATGCATGAAGTCTGCGAACAGATAGAGAAAGCGTCAGCTTTCGCTGTATTATCTTCGAACGTGGACGAATAAAACCGCAAAGTTTCAAAGTGATATATCTGACAATATTTTTCTAATCGCCGAATCATCTGTACCGAGTTTCACAAGATCGAAAACACTATGAATTATTAATATAACCCGTAATTTGATTGTAATCTTGAATCGGACGGATACTTTGGTTTAGAAAAATTACAGTATAGTCCTCGAATAATGGCGAATAGATCCACGAGGTTTGAAAACGGTGCATCGAATAGTTTCTTTTTTTTAGAAAATGTCTTACCAACGACGCTTCTGATGAAGGTGTCTCTCCTCTCCTTCACTCCAACTAGCGCGCTATACTTCCTGCCGCCTTCTCCCCAACCACCGACTGCCACGGAGGTCTTCAGATGAGGATACGTGATCCTTAAATTGTTGAACGCTTGGAAGTTCTCCTGTTCAACGTCCAATTCTGGATCCAGGATCAATATCTCCCACGTGACGTTGCTCACGCCGATGAACGAGTAGATGATGTGAGTGCATAGTTCGCCGGGGATGTCTTTGATGCCGTAACTGCCGACGTCCGGTCGGTAGATAGCCCAGTTGCTGAAGTAACACGCTATTCTAGCCGGTTGATTCCCTGGAAAACCATGAATCGTGTTGGTCGACTATGACGAATCTTGGCGACCATGTATTTATCTTATCAAATACTCGAGCAAGCACTCACCTGTCGCAATTGCTAACGTTGCTAGCACCACTGTCAGCGAGAGGAGACTCTTACCTGATGCCATCTCTGCAGCTGAGAATAATGATGTCGCTCTAATTGACATACAAAAGTTATGTAAATTGAAATACTTGAGGACAGTTCTAGTCACACTGTCTGACACCTATCATTAAGTTCGTGAATTTGCTCCGCTTTAACCACCGACGCTATGAAGATGATTTTGTCACAGAATAATTCTTCAGTCTCTACCAAACACGACGGTATATTTTTTTCAATGAGATTGTAAACATTTAAAACAATATTCGAAGCGATGACTTTTAACTTGGTCGTTGTTTTCGGTCGAATGTTCAACTTTGATCATTTTTTGTGGGTACAATCGTGAAAGTAACGCGAGTTGTTTTTTACACAGAAGTATTCTACAGACTCTCCGAAATGCAACAGTATATTTTAAAATAAAATTACGATGGTTTAACTTTGTTTGAAAAACGTTCGAACCAAGCAAACGCACCAATTTCTCCGGTTATGTCCGACGTCCGCTCTGCTCGAGGATCGACGCGGATCTAGAAGATCGTCTCGAGTGTAGGCGGTTGATTAGCGGTTCCCGGGTGGTGGGTACGCCGATCTATCGATCGTGGCGTTGTTCTTCAAACGGGAGAACGATCCACGCCGACCGGTTTCCGCTAAAGCAAACACTGTGACATCCTCGCGAAATCTTTCTCGAATGGTTCGGTTTTATCTCGCGATCGATTTACGTTGTTTTTTCGGTCGAGGACAAGTGCCTGGGCCTTCGGGATTATCTCCAGGATCTGCCGATCTCGAGACAATTTCTAAAAATAATGCGATCTTCGATCAACAATGTTTTGCAGAAATTGAAGAAAGACAGATACGAATTCATTAGCTTAATGAACGGTTCTGGAATGCGGAAGATAAGCGGTCTGCGTTTCTTACGCTTTTTTCCACTCATATTTACATTTCTTTAACATTATTCAAATGCTAAAAAGTCGAAATTTCAATTTCCTATTATGCTTCGAGTTTTCCTGGCTAGTGAAGTAAAAACCTTCGAAATGTTTCATTAGAAACCAACAGAATTAATTGTCATCTTTCATTTGCATAAGAATAAAAGTGTAACCTACTTTATAAATGAAGGATCGGAAGAATTTTCTTCAAGTACACTCGCTGTGCAACATTTTCACGGTGAATTTTTATATATTCTGCCAAAAACCCGTTGTTCTCGCGACGCACGCTGAAAAATACTCGAATTCGAACGTTATTAGGGTCTTTCAGCGGAACAAAAAAAATGTCCAGTAGCTTTTTATCGTCGAATTCGCTCGACCAGGTTCTGCAAGGGGTGGAGTGTCCCGTCGACAGTTTTTACGGCCACGATTTCGCAGCTCGATCGGCGAAAAACGCGCAAAAAGTATTTTATCCGGCGGGGATTGGTCCTCGTTTTCGGTGCTCGTACCTTTGAAATCTTTTTTCGTCCCGATACGGACCTGTTTCAGTTCCTCGACAATTTCTTTATTGATATTGTCGTTTATTTCTATCGCTTCGTAAGTGGAAATCAATTTGATGCACATTAAAGAACAGATTAGGAAACACCTATTCTGCGTTTCGATAATCAGAAAACGATTCTTACTGAACATGTTTCTCTTCGTCAGCTTCAGGTTTCGGGGAATTTAAGAAAAGATCAACTTTGATTATTTTTTCCGTTTTAACCGTGAAAGCTATTACCAACGATGCTCAAGTAGAATAATTTTGTATGCGCTCCTAAATACAACGCTATATTTTTTAATAAGCTTATGAACATTTAAGTACGTTCAAACAACGTTCAAAGAGGATGTGGCAACGCGCCAATTTTCTCAAATATCTTTCTCTTATAAAATAATAATAATTTAACAATTTATTCGTATACATATACGGGACGATCATTTGTAACACAGACGACATAAAAGCTATCGCACGAGTCAAATTTGAAAAGAGTTAGAATAATATAGAATATTCAAAAATAATAATAATGAATGAGTGAAGGCATTGATATAAATACAATGAAATAAAATATAAAACAGAAATAATAGCAATAGTGGAAGTCAGGGAGAAATATGGAAGAGTAGAAACAAAGGAAAAGAAATGAGAATGAAAATAAAATCCAACAATCGACCTCCGATTATCGAATTGCAGAGATAAAATTTATTGGACAGTGCGATTGGCAATTATTTGGCGACCGCAAGCGATGATGAAGAACGCTTTGTTTCAACGAAGCACGACCACGATTGCTTTCTTTTCCCGTAAAAACTCCGGAGAAAAGAAAATCGTTCACCGTGAAACGTGTCTCATGGTATATCCCGAGGTTTTTATTCGATCATCGACAAGGTTCTGCTTTTTAACGAGATAAATCGTTCGCCTAAGCTCGCCGCTCCTTAAAGCCAAGACGGAACGGCGATCGACTCGAGGATCGTGGACAAAGAACGGTCCACAGGAAGATCGAGGACCGTCCTTGGGACATCGAGGAGAGTTTCAAGTGAAATGGAGGAGCTAGATAATGGTCGCCGGTTCGCGAAAATAAAGGAAGATGCTCCGTGGCCTCTCGGAAGGAGAACAACGGCGGACAAGACGGAGAGAAACGAGGCTCTTTCGTCGCGCGAATTAAAATGCCGGCTGCATCGGATCCTTCGGCTACTATTCCGCCGGATGCACCGCGAATACAAACGCAGCAGACATAACCCAGACCCTGAGGAACACTTCCATCTGCTCCGATAACTGATCGCACCTTTTACTCGCCGCAACTTTCGTGAAACATGCAGTGCACGTAGAAATCGCATCCCTTCGGAAAGTTATAATGTTTCTATTGTTGCGTCCGCGTTAAAATAGATGGTTCCTAAAATACGATTGTGTTCGCCTCGATAAATATATTTTATTTGTAGTACTAAATTCTGGATTCGTTAATTGAAGAAATTTCTCTGAAAGTGATTATTAGTAACGTGCTGATTTTAGTTTTTGCTATTGTCCCTAACGAAAAGAAAATTCACTTCAACATTGATGATTTTAATGAGTTAAACTATCTAATATTTTCAGAAGCTCGAATGTCTAGTTTGCGGTTGCTTTGTATATTGTAATCATATTGTTTTCACTTTTTTAATTATTATTATTATTATTATTATTATTATTATTATTATTATTGTTGTTATTATTATTATGTTAAATTTTTATGGAAATATTGAAAGGATATCTGGTCCGTTGACGTCAACAAATTAAATGAACTGTTGCATCGTGTTTCATTGAAAGAGAGTATAGCAAAATCCTTGGAACAGTGAGCAAAATGACGTCCGCGTTTCCTGTTTACAAACGGCTATCTGAAACGGACGATATCCCGAGTCCAGCGAATCCATTAACAAGCATTCAAACGTAATATTGATATTCCCGACGGGTGGAGCGGTTTCGTGACGTTTGTTATTTTTGTTTCCTTGGCTTCGATCCAGGAAGCACGAGGTGCGTCAACGTTTACGATTTTACCGGTTGGAGTTCGCGATAGATAAGAGACACCGGCTACGTGTTCCGCTATCACTTGGAATGTCGGTCACGTCGGATTAAATGGAAGGCTGTGTATCATCATCGATCGATGCCTCGTGGCCCTGAGCTAATCGAATCCACGAACCGATGCGACGCGACAATAAGAATCGAAGCTGAAGGGAGCATCGATCTCGAGCAGGAAGAGCCTCGAGAACGTCGAACACCGCGCCAGAGTCCTCTACGCTAGCTCTCTCGATGAATACTGATCGAAAGTAGCGCGAATTTCATTGAGAAACTGGCAGAGAGAATCGTCCAAAAGCGTAGAACAAGTTAGGATTGATCCATCATCTGATTTCTAATTTCAATCGCAAAATTCTACCTCGTAACGATCCGCGTCATCTTTCAGAGCTCGTCGAAATCGTTGCAACCGCCATCGGAATGACATCGTTTCGAAAGCGACTTCAGCATCCTTCCGTTCAAGCTGCATAAGAAGCTGCCACAATCAGCTGATTGTTCCCGAAACGGATCGCCTTCCTAATCTGTCGAAGCAAGTCTCTCGTCGGAGACTCATCACCGACAACAATGCTCTCGGCCGGCTCAACTTCTATGAAAATGAATCCGCAGAAAATCCTCGCAGCATTCACAAACGACCTTCGAGCCGGGCCAAGGGGAGGAAAACAAAGAAATCGAGGAAAGAAGCAAATGAAAAAATCGAGACAAAGCGAGTGGACCATCGCCCACACGCGACTTGTCACCGGTCGTGGCGGAATTCCAACGTGTCCATGTGTAAACAGCCCAAACGACGAGGGATCGACCTGTCGATTGTGCCCCGAGATCTCTGCGATTCGGAACAGATAGATGATCGCAATTAGCGAGGACCAGTTGTTCGACGGTGTTTCGATGATATTGATTTTCTCTCGCGTCCGCCATTCAGCTGTCCGATAAGACGCTGATGGCCGTAGCAAGTGATAGAGTTTTGTATTCGAAAATGAAAGAATACAGGCAATAATGTATGGTAAAAAATTCCAATGGTAGTTGGTGAGATAGAATCGAATATTAATACGTGCTATGAGATGAGATTTTTGAAATTTTTATACTTTCATGTAACGACAAAAATCGAAGTGGCAATTCCAGGCGAGACAGCCTGTATTAACAGCGATTCACACCTTTATTGTTACACTTGTTCGTCTAAATTCTAACGAATCTTTTAAATCTCACGTCGAAATCAATGTNATATATTTTATTTGTAGTACTAAATTCTGGATTCGTTAATTGAAGAAATTTCTCTGAAAGTGATTATTAGTAACGTGCTGATTTTAGTTTTTGCTATTGTCCCTAACGAAAAGAAAATTCACTTCAACATTGATGATTTTAATGAGTTAAACTATCTAATATTTTCAGAAGCTCGAATGTCTAGTTTGCGGTTGCTTTGTATATTGTAATCATATTGTTTTCACTTTTTTAATTATTATTATTATTATTATTATTATTATTATTATTATTATTGTTGTTATTATTATTATGTTAAATTTTTATGGAAATATTGAAAGGATATCTGGTCCGTTGACGTCAACAAATTAAATGAACTGTTGCATCGTGTTTCATTGAAAGAGAGTATAGCAAAATCCTTGGAACAGTGAGCAAAATGACGTCCGCGTTTCCTGTTTACAAACGGCTATCTGAAACGGACGATATCCCGAGTCCAGCGAATCCATTAACAAGCATTCAAACGTAATATTGATATTCCCGACGGGTGGAGCGGTTTCGTGACGTTTGTTATTTTTGTTTCCTTGGCTTCGATCCAGGAAGCACGAGGTGCGTCAACGTTTACGATTTTACCGGTTGGAGTTCGCGATAGATAAGAGACACCGGCTACGTGTTCCGCTATCACTTGGAATGTCGGTCACGTCGGATTAAATGGAAGGCTGTGTATCATCATCGATCGATGCCTCGTGGCCCTGAGCTAATCGAATCCACGAACCGATGCGACGCGACAATAAGAATCGAAGCTGAAGGGAGCATCGATCTCGAGCAGGAAGAGCCTCGAGAACGTCGAACACCGCGCCAGAGTCCTCTACGCTAGCTCTCTCGATGAATACTGATCGAAAGTAGCGCGAATTTCATTGAGAAACTGGCAGAGAGAATCGTCCAAAAGCGTAGAACAAGTTAGGATTGATCCATCATCTGATTTCTAATTTCAATCGCAAAATTCTACCTCGTAACGATCCGCGTCATCTTTCAGAGCTCGTCGAAATCGTTGCAACCGCCATCGGAATGACATCGTTTCGAAAGCGACTTCAGCATCCTTCCGTTCAAGCTGCATAAGAAGCTGCCACAATCAGCTGATTGTTCCCGAAACGGATCGCCTTCCTAATCTGTCGAAGCAAGTCTCTCGTCGGAGACTCATCACCGACAACAATGCTCTCGGCCGGCTCAACTTCTATGAAAATGAATCCGCAGAAAATCCTCGCAGCATTCACAAACGACCTTCGAGCCGGGCCAAGGGGAGGAAAACAAAGAAATCGAGGAAAGAAGCAAATGAAAAAATCGAGACAAAGCGAGTGGACCATCGCCCACACGCGACTTGTCACCGGTCGTGGCGGAATTCCAACGTGTCCATGTGTAAACAGCCCAAACGACGAGGGATCGACCTGTCGATTGTGCCCCGAGATCTCTGCGATTCGGAACAGATAGATGATCGCAATTAGCGAGGACCAGTTGTTCGACGGTGTTTCGATGATATTGATTTTCTCTCGCGTCCGCCATTCAGCTGTCCGATAAGACGCTGATGGCCGTAGCAAGTGATAGAGTTTTGTATTCGAAAATGAAAGAATACAGGCAATAATGTATGGTAAAAAATTCCAATGGTAGTTGGTGAGATAGAATCGAATATTAATACGTGCTATGAGATGAGATTTTTGAAATTTTTATACTTTCATGTAACGACAAAAATCGAAGTGGCAATTCCAGGCGAGACAGCCTGTATTAACAGCGATTCACACCTTTATTGTTACACTTGTTCGTCTAAATTCTAACGAATCTTTTAAATCTCACGTCGAAATCAATGTAAATTCGTCAGGAAGGAATGTTGAGACGATGGGAAACAAAAATGTCTTTGAAAACATTTAAATGGTTATACTGTTATGAAAAAATGTACCGTCGCATTTGACAGGATCTGTAGAATCGCACCATGGAAGAAACATGTCTGTAGCTTGTTCGATTCAAGCACAAGAAATTTTTGAAGCAGGAAATTCGTTTTCCGATTAAGATTACTGCTTACCTGAACGCGATAGAAAGCTTCGGTTTCGAAAGAAGTGCAAACAAGTACGTAGAGTGTTTTATTTTGCACGATGTGTTGTGCTGATACTTCTCCGAAAAAGCGCCGAGACCGAGAGAAAAACTGAAGAGAGGACTCACCTTCGCGACCACCGGGTACCACAGAAAAATCGTGGCTCCGGCCGTGGTTAAGCTCTCATATATACCCAGGTGGACCTCATTAGAATTCAGGTGCAGGGGATCTCGCACGATTGGCTGGTTCGTCGACCCTCTGCCTCCCGTCAACGACGACGGGACGACCACCATCCGTCACCAATCGTCATGTTCGTTTTTCGTTTCTAGTTCGCCCCTTAGATACGATTGTCTATTCGAAATTAGTGGATCTTCCACTGATATAGGAAATAGTCGATTCTATGATTATTTAGATGATAATGTGCAATCATTCTTTACGTAAAAAATTGTTCGGTAATTTTCTTATATATATTTTTTATGGTACTTTGAATGGATCTATCGATTTTATTATTAGCCATACATTGCCATCCAAGGATTTACAAGTTAATGGACAATGGTTCTCAGAGAACAGTTCTTCCATTCAGTATTTCCTTATCCGAACCTTAATGAGCAAATATATTCAGACGTATTTAAATAGTGACGCAGTTCGTAGTTATTTTGAAAAAGTCGTCAAAGCCAAATATGCATAAATTGCCAACAATTGTTTTCCCTTTGCAGAAATCTCCCCCTTCGGTGGTATAACTTTTAAATACATTTCTCGTCACGTTAAATTAAAGTCCTTGAGCCAGAAAATTCTAAGATCAACAATTACGTAAAAAAGTCACAATACCTTACGACACGAGCCCTGTTGCCCAATTTATCAGTAACGTCAATTTATCGTTATCGCGTACTCGATAAGGAAACGAACGTCGAAAATTAAGGGCCGGTGAAAACGGTACACGAAACGGTACCGGCCGACTTTACCCCGACGATTCCCGAATTCTTCGCCTTTCAAATTCTGCCGTGTTTCGGCGCGATCGAGTGATCCAGGGGGGAGGGAGGAGGACCGGTTCGAAGGAAGATCGTCGTTCGTGTAATATGGATTTTATTTTATTCGTGTAACAATAACAGTTCCTGTTTCCACAGTGTTAGTTTCTCTTACGGTAAGAATGTTTCGACGCGGAAACCAACCCTCTCGCCGATTTCTCAGGCACCGTGGGCCACTTTAGGGGGTCGCAGGGGGGTTCTCGCCGCATTAAACACCTGATAGTAATCAGCGTCGTTTCTCGAGCATTGACTCTCTCTCTCTCTCTCTCTCTCTCTTTCTCTCTCACACTCTCTTTCTCTGTTTCTCGTTGAATTCGCGACGGAAACGGTGAAAAACGGGGCGCGCGAACGAATCGGATCCTTCGTCCGCCTCGCGACGATTTCTCATCCGACCGCGAGGATCGGTCGTCGATCGTCTTGTAAAAAATTATCCCTAACGTCGAGAAATCGATTGACTGGAACTCTCGATTGATTTAGAAACGCGCGCGCGGGGGCCTACCCTTAATTATCATGATTAGCGAGATACCGTTCTCGTGGCCGACACAACGCCGCTACGATTTTTCTTCGTTTTGCAATCCTTACGGTTAAACTGTTTTGTGCTGTCGGGTTTTCTTCGCTTTTCTTGTCTTATCTGTAATTGACGAGAACAGTCGCCGCGTGTCTCGCGAACGAGCTGCTGGCTGTAATTTGGCACTCTTCGATGCTGTCCGACGAGTCTGAATCCTGCGGAACATTCATGCTGGTTCGGCGAACGCGGTAAACGCTAATTATTTTGGTTGATATTGGGAGATGATACTGTTTCTTCTTCTGCGCCATTATTGCGTCCCTTCAGAATTGGTCTACGAGCTTATTCGAATGCGTCTGAATGGAATTCGATTCCTAAAAAGTTCAAATGCTGGGGACGAATTAGTTCCAACATCGAAACTCGGTCCACGAAACATTGCTGGGGTCACCAAAGACCCCAGCAAGTTGGAACTATTTACTTCTGTTTGACTGTACTCTTCGCAAAATTATGCTGGAAAATAATTTGCCAAGGATTGTGTAATGAATTTAATGAATTATTCTCGATTCAAAGGACGTTTGTTCGTGAGCCCAGCGGCCATGTTCCGCAGGACACGAACGCGGTTTCCTCTGCTTCTTCCTTTGCGCTTTTACAACGAACAACGAACTTTACCTAGGAGAAGAGACCTTCAGAAGGTAAGAAACACACCGCTACGTTAAACGTTACGTCGTGCAGCGGGAATCAATGCGGAACGCTATTACAGGACGATTCTAAAGCGTGTGTATTGTATATATGTATAGTATGTATATATGTACATATATGTAATTCTTTAGATTACACTGTCCAACGAATCTCGCGCATTTGGTAGAATTCGGGGCGCTCCAAGATCTATGAGAATTAGCTAGTTGTTGGACAGTGTTCGACGACAATCGATTGCGTTCAACTGGAATCGATCTTGCGGTTTTGATCAACGACCATGTTTTCTGTTCATCTTGGAATATACGAAATAAACGAGCAAGGAATTTGTGGAAGTCAGTGAAATCGACTGGGATTTATTTCAATTCAATTTTATTAGACACCAGACATGGGCAAATTTTATTCAGAATAAAAATGAACTGTATAACATGTGAAAAAATTATTTCCAACAATTTATCTTATTTGTATGATGACACAGGACATGGAAATTATTTGCTAATAGCTTTGAATAAAATTGAATTTGATTTGGAGACGTTCCTCGAGTATACGAGAAGTTATTTCGTTCCATAAATGAACGATTCGAATGGTTACAGAAGAAATCATTTGCTGTTTCAACTTAATTAACGTATAATTATTTTAAGGATAGTTCAAGGAAGAATGTTCAAGGATCTCAAGGGCTCGAGATGAGAAAATCATTGATCGATGTCTGCAGCCGCGACATCGTGTCCGTCTCAGTCGTTTCAACGTTCGCGACGGTCGCAGTTCCACAGTAATCTTTGTTAATGTCTCGCTATGTTGCGCAGCTCGTAGCACCTATCGTAAACGCAACCTTATATCCTACCTTATATCGTTACCTTATACCCTAGCTTTCGGTTCTGTCGCGTCTTAGATCGCTAATGCTCCAAACTCAAACAAATGTACAACATATCGAACGTTTTTCGAAACATTAATCGAAGTATACCTTTTCGAGCGAAGGAGACCGATTCTAATTATAACGTTAACACTTTGACGGACGTTCTAACATCAATCTTACATCGACTCATTAAAATATTCGAAAAAATAAAGCAATTCAAACTCTTCGAAATCCTTCCGGACAATCTAATTAAACATCAGTATTGTTCCGACTTTTGTTACGAGAATGATACAGTAGGAATTTACAATTGCAGACGAAGCAGTTTAAACCGTAATTCCACGATGGTTCTAGCCGTCAAAGGGTTAACAATTTCGCGATTCGTTATCTCTTAGTGCTTCATTGTGCTGCCTCGGCGCCCCAATCAATCGTCGTCGCTACCGACAGAGTCTCTTGGAAGCATTTCCTGTCAACGAGAGGCGAGGACGAGACAGAGCAGCGCTGAGAACAATAATTCTCGATTCGCGACAACGTTCAGCAAATTTTAATGAGCTTGCTGTCGCTGTCGTGGTGATCATTCACACGGTGCCAGAAACTCTATGACACTATGTGCTTCATTCGCTCACGTGATATTTCATATCCTAGTCGAAATAAAAACATTATTAGACTTTATAGATAAATTTTAGATTCGCTGGTTAATTTAGTTGAAATCTAACGCGCTGCACGAGTTTCGCAGCACTCATAGTTTTCGATCTGTCGGAGCATCGAATAGTATCGCAAACAACGAAGAATTATCGTCCGTTCAAGAGGAATCGACAACGTTTCTACTTCATTTTTATTATAAAAATTCATCAGTCCGTAGCGTCCGTTTGTTTTCGTTGAAAGCTCTGAAAAAAATCCGAAAGTTCGAATGCTGCAATAATCGTGCAAGGCGGATTGTTGTAAAATTTGTCGAAATTCCGAGTAGAAAACAGTAAATCGATCGAACCAAGGCACGCTTGCACTGAACGGGGGCCAGAAATCGTTCGAGAAGAAAAGAACACGTATAGGACAACTGAGAAGCTCCTTTATTTGACTGGCGAGGTGCCGTTTATCGTTATCCCGGGCAGAGAACTCGTGCCGTTTCTACGTTATTTATACAACTCAACTATTTATACAAAAACCGACCGGTCCAATCGGCAATAAAACGTCCATCCAGCTACTCGTTCACGAAATCGATACCAAAATTACCGACTAATTACAGAAGAAGAAATTAGAAGCCTATGGTACAAAAACGGCACGAATTCCTCTGTCGGTATTTTCACCTATTCTGAACAGTATACCACTACATCTGTTCGACACCGAATACGCCTAGCTCTTCTTTCGTTATTAGTTCTAATTAACCGATGATTATGTACAGTATATCGACGCAAATAAAAAAACGCCTCATCAAGTCGACTTAACAATTAACACGATTTTAACGCGGCTCGTTTAACGATGAACCGCGCGTCGATCGTCGATGACTGGAGGAAAGATGGTTGTTTTTCTCTGTTGTTCCGGGCTGGCAGTTAGTTGATTTTCTTTGTGCTTCAGAGGATTTTCCCTTATAGTAACCGAGTGTGTTGTCGGTGTTGTTTCATGTTTTTCTTTATTTTTTTTAATTTTTTTTTTGTTAGTTCTCGAAGGGTGATCGACCTTACGAATAGTAATTTTCTCTTTGCTGGTAGATTGGCAATGGCGTCACTGGCGACAGGTCCTCGTCGTCTAAGCTCGATTCGGTTTTTAGAGGCAGGGTGGCCAGGGCTTTTACTGTGGACCAACAAACCTAATTAATCTCCTCTTCCGATCTAATCCCGTAGCGTTAATCTGCTGGAGAATTAATCTCTCGCTTCTTAAGTTAGGGTCGCCCTGCACGGTGGGGGCAAATAACATCAAATTCAATTAAAAATATCTTATCGGCGGAGTGTAGTATGCGAGGGGCTATGAATAAAATGAAAGAAAAAATATAAACAAACCTGAAAAACGATAATATGATGTGCGTGTCCTATATGGGAGGATGGAGAAAGCATGTCAGTCAGTGTGCCTGGTTACCTATACACAGCACAAACAATCCAAACAACACTCTCTACGTATGACGGTACTAATCCTATGTATATAACATCGGTAAAAGCTTCCGCGCGGCGAATTTAATACAAATCAATTAAAACTCGGGGGTAAAATAAGTCACGAGAACGCATGCCAATGAGGGCTCCGTTTGGCCCGTGAACAGAAATTCAAGTGGAAACATCAATTTTCCGAGAGTTAAACAAATGAACCGCGAAGAAAATAAGAAAAATCAGTCTGACGAGATAAATATGGAACGCAAACAATTAGCAAAAATTATTGGAAATCTACTTCCTATGGACCCAACTTTATCTTCTTGCTTTTTTAAAAGTTGTATCGCACTAAAACTGTTGCAAAAGTCTTTCTCGAACGCAAAAGGAAGTAGCTTCGCGACTGGATCGTTAGCAAAAATCGTTTGTCTAACTTCTCAGAACACAGAGATGTACAACGGATAATTAAACAAAAATAACGGAAAGATAAATTGGTAGAATTTCGCAAGCATAAATCGCCCTCTGCGGTAGAGACAATCAGAGGGTGAAAGGAAGCCACTCTACACGTTGGTCATGCTGTCAATTTGCTAGACGTTGTATTCGTGCAAAATGAATCGAACACGATTAGGGAAGGTTCTGGAAACGTACCCGCCACCATTTTACTTTTCTCCATCACTTGCTTCGCCAGGATCTGATTCAGCTGCAGGATGTGATCCCTCTGACGTTTCTCCTCGACCACCTTCCTCTTCAGGTTGTCTGATTGTTCTACGTTAATATTGTCGTCTGCAACATTTAACGTGACTATTGCTTAGTAATATTATATGGACAATACATTTTAGAGCGCCTACTTAATTCATTCCATTTTATAAATAGCGGCCATGTTGTAGCCTGTGTTTGTCAATCATTCCCACGTTTGGATACATGTGTATGTAGATTGTAATAATACCGTTTCCATCCGATGCAGTGACAGTTGTTTCCGACAGCATTTTTCTGATAGCCTCAGCCTTCTTCAGACGCTGCTCCTGCTCCTCGGCTGATAACTCTGGGGTCTGGAATAAAGATATTATTATATTAGATTATTGTATTATAGCCTGGAATATTCTTTATATATATCTGTAGAATATTTCCATAATAGACATCTTTCATTCTGCAATAAAACAGCTTATGCCAACGTTCATGTAGATACGTTCAAAACGTTCAATTGTCAAGCATATTACCTGCTCAGGAATATATCTCTCAGGAATGACGATCTTATTCGGGGTGCCGAGTAGCTGATCGATGGTGCTCTCATTGTACTTGAGTTCTTTGTGACTCAACGTCGACCTAACGACATCCGGAGCATTGATCCTTGGCCTGAGCGCTCGCTCCATATCCAAATCGTCCCTCGCTCTTCCCATTCCCTGCGTAACGTAAGATTAATCTTGAAATTAGGGTTCCCGCTTTCTCTTTCTTCGCAGACATGGTTAATAAGTCGAACATCGTGTTAGTCACGTCCAACTCGTACTGTGTGTTTAGATAATAGATCGCGTGAGTTAGCGCCTTAGCTACCGGAAGTCTATGAGCAGCGGCGGGGTGGCAGGAAGTACCCTAACTCCTGTGCACACCGTGCGGTGTATTCTGTTACATACCGCGCGAGGCTGTGGTTTCTTTCGATCGGGGTAAAATTGATTGAAATTGTTAAACTTTTCCATACGTAGACAGAGATAGATTATAGCGTAGTAGAATCCATCAAATAGTCTGCATAATGGATAAAGTTGAAGCGATTTACGGGAGAGCGGACAAGGAAGCGCGACGAAATCAAGAGAAATTAAAGAAAGAGCAACGAAACGTAGAGATGATGGGGGAAGATAAAGAGCAACCAAATGATAAAGAAAAAAAATACCATCTTCGAGAACGTGTCTTCTAAGTCGAGGACGGGTTTGCTACTGGATACGGTATAATGGCGTCTTTTTTCTCGCGGGATCTGCCTCCTCCTAGGGCCCTCGACCTTTTTCTCGGTCATCTCCTTGATGATCTGCTTAGCAGCCTCGCTCTTGAACACCGGCGACAACTGCGGCGAGCACGAGGTGTTCACGGTCAGGGTCGAACCGAACGGTCTCTCTTGCGTTTCCGGTTTCATCGGTAGCTCGGGGCTAACCGGATCCAATGGGCTCTCGGTTTTCCCGGACACAGGGCTATCGTAGTGTCTGTACTGCGGATAATATTGCTGCTGGTGCTGCGGTTGGTGATTAGGCTGCTGATGATGGTGGCCTGACCGGATCATCGGCGAGTAATTCTGATGGCACGGGCTGTACGATGGGCTGGTCGAGTAATTTGGCGAGCTCAATGGAACGTGCGAACTCGAGCCGAGGCTCTCCGTGTACGGTGACAGCGTGCTATCCGAGCTGCCGTCCTGACTTTCGAACTGTCGTGATCGTTAAACAAAAGAGGAGGTAGAGTGACCGTGCGGGAGCAACAAAATCGCGGGAGTAATCAGAACAAATGGATGGGGAAGCTGAGTCGAGCGATGACTGGCGACTAAACTGCAATTCTTTGCACGGATTACCTTTCTTATCTGAACGAATCTATTGGATAAATTGGTGCCATTTTGTCGTGAAGCTGTTTAGCCGCGAGAGCGAGGCAAAGTCAACTGACCTATTGGAATTTTCTTTTCTTTCCTAGTCGTTGGTCATGGTTAATTTGTGCACACGATAGAATATATAGTGAAAACAAGAATATTATATGAACGTAAAAAGGTCATGCAGTCTATCGATGAAACTAATGGTTATTAAAAATTTGTAAGTCTTCTGCAATTTTTCTGCCTAATCGTATCTTACTCATTCTATCACTAAGCAAACTTGTTTGTCTGTGATCTAACTGCTAGATACAGGGAGTAAGTATCGCCTTTCTGTTATTTTACCATTTTGACAGCTTATTCGTATCGATCTTGATAGGGAACGCCAACTCACCCTGACTTTGTTTCGCCGGGCAAGCATGCTCCTCAGGGCGTGCATGCTGTCGCTCCTCGGCGGAGGCACCACCGGACCCTGATGAATCTCAGGCTGCTGCTGCCGTTGTCCACCGAAGCCTCTCGGCAGCGACATGCTCCTTTGGAACTGCACGTCGTCCAAATCCGTCAGCTGGACCGTGCTCTGCGCGTGAATCATCGGCGATTCTTCGACCACTCTTCCCAATTGAGCCTTCTAAAAGTAAGTGGATCAAGAATAGAGTCGACCGACACGATCCAACACATCGATCTCTTTATCTGTGTGACCCTGACTAATTGTGTCCCGATAGAAACAAATATCAGTTGTTGTTATCCAATTAGAAATTGATTTCAATAATCGCTGAGGATTTCTTCATCCCTCACAGATGTCCCAATACTGAAATACAACTACGCGGGTTGGCAGAAATGACACGATCTGACATAGAATATGGCACTTTATCCTGTTATAAGTTAATTTAATTAATTGCCGTGGATTGGTTTATATAGATCTCATATGTGCTGTGATACTGAAGTGCAACTCATGTTGACTCAGAAAACTGCGATCGTTTCAAAATTGTCTCCTAACACGATACTGGTATTTATTAATTTTGTAGAAATAACACGATTCGTCATGAAATAAGACACCTTACCCTGTTACAAGTTAACTTAATTAACTGTTGAGGGTTGGTTCAAATCTTATGTGTCCTAATACTTAAGTACAACTATGTAGACCCAGAGAACTGCGATCATTTCAAAATGATCTCCTAACAATTCTGATGTTTATTAATTTTATAGAAATAACACGATTCGCGTCATGAAATAAGACACCTTACCCTGTTACAAGTTAACTTAATTCACTGTTGAGGGTTAGTTTAGATCTCATCTATGCCCTAATATGGAAGTACAACTATGTAGACACAGAAAACTAACCATCATTTCAAAATGATCTCCTAACAATGCTGATGTTTATTAATTTTGTAGAAATAACAGGACCTGCCATGGAACATGGCACCTTACCCAATCAGAAGATGACTTAAATAATTGTCAAGGGTTGCTTTATCTCTGACAAGTGCCCCAACATGAAAATACAACAATTTAGACCCAGAAAGCTTGGATGGTTTCAAAATGATCTAACACGTCCCAACCTTGATACGCCTTAATTGGCCGATGCAACGCGACTTGCCGTGAAATTGGGTGAAAGAAAAAACCGAGAGCAATTACCTCGAATTTCTGGGAGCCTCCCAGATCATCGTCGCACAGCCGTTTCGCACCCCCAGGCGCTTGCAGGCCGTTCGTTAATGGGATTCCAATGTTTCCGGTCCTATCGCCCCGATCTCGTTGCCGTCTCTCCGATTCCCGTTTCACGATTCGCACGGTCTTGATCTCTTGTTTCTCACGGTTGTGTATCAGGCCTTCGAACGATATCGGACCGAACGTGAGCATTTTACAATACATAACATCTACCTGTATCTGTCCGTTGCGGCACCTTCGTTAATTTGCCGATCGCATTGTTACACTCACCGGCGAACTTGTTGTCCTCGTTCAGACGATAATTATCATTGGCAAGCGTGTCCTCGTTCAGGGGTGGCGGTGGAGGCGGCGGAGGTACGTACTCCGGCGCAGAGATCGACGTGCCGTTAGCCAACTTTTCATCGTGCTTGTTGGTATCTGTTAATTTAGAGACAACGTGAGCTGCGAATTTTGCAAAGATTCGATTAAAAAATCGAGGGGATACTTTGGAGATTTTTATGCGAGAAACGTGTGGACTTTTCGTTAGCGAAGGTTCTAGTTTCTGAAAGCGTGCATCTGAGAGAACTCGTAGGAAGTCTTTCAATGGAACATATATAATTAAACAAAAGAGTAACAACGTAATCTCGGCGATCTTCCGTTTCGACAACGTCCAAAAAGAAGCTTTGGCTAACCTTGACCCCTGGTGTCCGTGTTGACGTACAACGGCGCGACGTTCACCTGCATCAGACTTCCCTTGCCCTGCATCTGATCCTTCAGCAGCTGTTGTTTCAGCTGATGTTGCTGGATTTGTTCTCGCAGCTGAGGCGACAGCGTCGAGATGTGGTTCTGCTGCATCGGAGGGTACGGTTGATGGTTCTGCAATGGCTGATGATTCTGCATTGACTGGGAATACGGCTGATTGTTCTGGTGATGATTCTGCTGATGGTTCTGCTGATGGCTCTGATGATGGTTCTGCTGATGATTCTGCTGGTGGTTCTGCTGATGATTCTGCTGGTGATTCTGTTGATGATTCTGCTGGCGATTCGTGGGCGAGGACTCCTTCATCAGGGTCGGTGACGCGAACTGAGGATAGTGAACGCCGTTCTGCTTGCCTCGCGGCGAAGATGACAGGGCAGGACTCGACGGAGAGTCCAGACCATGGTCCAAAGTAATCCCCGAGTCAAGATCAGTCTCCAGCCAGGAGTTCTGCGTCCTCTTCTTCGGCTGGTGAACTTGCGGAGCTGCAGAAACGATCATTGATAAAGATATTTCATCGCTGTTAAAATGCTATAATCCCAGCGGAACTCACCCGAAGGCGGCTGAGGTCTAATCTGCTGCACCAGACTATGCGATTTCTCCGTTAATTGTCTAACTTGGACGCTCAATTCCTTCCTCTGCCGCTGCAAGTCGCCCACCAGCTGCTGAACTCTCCTCAATTCGGCTTCGAGAGGACCAGTCGTCGCCGAAGTGTCTCTGGCCATGTTCCCGGCGTACCTCCTCGAAGCCTGAAGCTTCTGCCTGAGCACCACCAGGTCCTGCTCCAACCTCGCATTCTCCGCGACCGTCTCCTCCAGTTTCTGCAATTCAGATGCCAAAAAGATGCAGGATTCTTGCGGGTAGTTCGAACATCGTGGAAAGCTATCGCGAAACGCGGACCATGGAAAACGGCGAACAGAACATAGAAGGGAAACGAAACTGAAACGCTAGTTTTTCTGTGCTTTTGATCATTTACCTGGAAGCATACCGGCTCTACCTGCGAACAACCAATTGATCATTTTAATCACTGGTGCGGGTGCGACGGGCGCGGTGCTCTATTCGCTAGACGATCGCTAGGTGAGGCCAATGTTGTTTTCGATTCCGACGAATTTATACTTTTTTTCACATTGCTCGGTTACGGAGAATGATTTGATAGCAGTGGATATAAAGGGAGTGAAAGGTGGTGAAAGAAACGCGTGTCGATCAAATTCATCCATGGTGAATGCGAAAATTGTAGACGTATTGAAAAGGTTTTTTAATACGTCGGTTGACAGCGAATGAAAAAGACCGAAAAGGATGGAGACGGGAACGCGACGGTTTTCAATGAAATCGCTCACAGTGAATGCGAAGGATGAATAGAATCAGAAAGAACCTCGACAATGGTTTTCGATAGATTCATTCACGCTGAATACAACAGGTGAAAAAGGATGGAAAACAACAAAACCGATGTTTCGTTTTGTTTCAAAAAAAAAAGAATGCTTCTACACGAACCGACCACAGTGGTCATCTAGATCTGATCAGGAGATGTATAAATTCGACTGACCTTATTAGCTAAGTTTCTGAACTTATGGTAGTTCAGGTAACCTCCTACGTCGGAAGGTATAGCGTTTTTCTCAAAAATCGAAGGAATCGGTTTCCAGATCTGTGTTCAGTGCATCAAAATATATCAGAATACTCTAAAACTTGTCGATGGACAGTGTTACGCGCGTATAAAACGAAGCATCACGTTATATAAGGTGTTCATTCTGACGGTCACACCGATTTTTGATGCATCTACACTAACCTGACAAAAAAATGTTTGCAACAAAAGTTGATAAGTACTTTGAGGAGAACAAGGAGCAATAATAAAAATTTCGAAAAATCTTTTATTCGACGAAAAGGTCAGGTCACCTCGACTTTTTCTAACAACACCGTGTATTTTTGATTTCCTAGCGTTCTAGCTGACGCAAAAACGAATTCATCGAACTGCTGTACATTGGCCTTTGAAACGAATTTTATAGCTTAGAAATTCGCAGTAATTAAGAACATTATTTTAATACAACGTTATCTCGAGGTTATTTTACAACTTAAAGACAGAAATAAACAGCAAAAGTCATTGTGTAGTAGGTTGTTGAATTCATTTTATCGTCAGCTATAACGCCATAAAGTAAAACATACATGCTATTTAAACAAGTCAAGGTGTCCTGAGCTTTTCAGCGAATGAAAAATTTGTGGTAATTTGTATTATTGCTTCTTGTTCTTCTTAAAGTGCTTATTAACTTTTATCCCAAACATGTTTTTGCCTGATTAGTGTAAATGCCTCAAAAATCGATGTGACCACTGGAACGAACACATTGTAGACACTGAAATTTTTCAGTAAAATTCGTAACATAGTGAAATTTGTCGACAAGAAGCTGGCGATAAAGATTGCAAGGGAGTTCCTACCTTGGAATTGTGCGCTAGCAACACCCTCACTCTGCTGAGCTCTCGTTCCAGCATCAGCTGTTGCTTCCGGTATCTCTCTGCTTCTGCCAGGTTGCTCCTGCTGCCCTGCAGCTTGTGCCGCAGGCCGCCGAGCGCTTTCTCCAGGATCTCCTGTTTAAATAATTAACAAAGCAAATGATATGAAACGGCTTTGCCTACGAAGAAAAATGAAATTGTGGCAATATTCATGAGCCACAAAGGAGGACGGTTAAATTCCGTAGAGACAGAAATACCCGTCCAACTATTATTAATCGAGTATCATAAACGCTTGCATAATTTCTAGTTTCCGTTCGAAATTATTCTCGTCTAGTGAAATCCGAAGTGCTCGCGATTGTACATAAACTGCAGATCTTTATGCGAAATAAAAATCCTCTGCGACAATTGCAACGAACAAGCGTTGCATAAAAGTTCAATTAAGGTGGTATTCTGGTGTGAATCTTCGAAAAAATCGATCGTTTATTTTTTAAATCTTCCTAAATAATACATATAGGCTCAAAAATACGTTTACAAAAGCTTATGTCCGAATGCTTAAAGTGAAGGAAGCGACGATAAATCGATTAATCACTTATTAACCGTAAATATGTTGTTCATAATGCGAGCGACCATTGGCATTCAGTGCCACCAATTTTAATCTTTACGAGCCAAACAAATTTTTAAGCGTTATTCAAACATTTATAAGCACACATTGGTGATCCGATTGCAAAAAGTGTTATAATTTCTTCGCAAAAAGATCTCAAAGAAAGTTAAATAAAAAAATGCAATTTACACTAGAACAACTCCTTAAATTCTTCTAATGCCTCTACTGTTTTGCGTTTCATTTTCCAACGAGCAGCACGTACCATAAACGCATAAAGATCCCCAGCACTCTAATCGCAACGAAACTGCGCGTATTGCGTGCAAGATGAAAAAGATCGACGATTCGATCGAAACCGATTTAAAACGAGAAGAATGGTAAGCGCTTGGGCAGAGTTCGAGATCGCGACACTTGCCTTGTCCTGTTGAAGACTGTGCAGCGTTCCGGATTCTTCCTGGAGCAGTCGATCCAGCTTGTAGAGCTGCTGCACCTTGGCCTACGACACACAAGCACGAGCACGGTTAACCTTGAGGTGTAACCGCACGGCCGAGAGCGCTCGGGGAATCGCGTTTCAACCGGAATCGCGACGCGACGGTGTCATAATCAAGCATCCGAAAAAATCCGGCTGCATACCGACACGCGTTGTCGGCGTGCACTTTTTCGCCGAATATAGTGTTTCATCGGGTCCGCGGTTTGTCAATGCGTCTTCCTTGTTTTGTCGCGCGGCCTTCCGCTGGAATTCGAAGGACGTCAAGCAATCGTTGCGGTCTGAGTACGGAATCTTTTAAGAAATCAAATGTTTGCCTGCCGCCTTCAGAATCGACGTTGCATAATATTAATGACAATCCACGAGCGATTTTTCTTCGCGTATTTTTTCGACCAGCTTGTCGAGATCAACGTGGGCCTGAATCAACGTCGATTCCAAAGCTGAGAATTAAAAGAATATGTAGTAGAAAATTAGCACCCGAAGATTTGAATGGAATTAGTTAATGAAATCGTCAAAATCGTCAATAATCGATCAACACCGTCTACAATGATCAGAAGTGAACACAGCGTTTGGCAAAAATTTCTCTGCGATATCGAAGAGAAAAAAAGTGGCTCAATAAGAATAAATTTTGTTAGTTTTATAATTTTTCATACATTTTTTACTACTTAAATTCGAGGGTTAATGCCTGGAATACGCTATGACGAATTAATGTATTTATGTCGAAAGAAACTTTTGTCTTCAACTTCATTATTCATTTTATTTTACATAGGAGTAAAAGAAATTATTATTTATTTTATTCAAATAATATATTATAATAAGTTAATAAATATTTGTATATTTATACAATATCTCCGAAATATATATTCTTTATCAAGTTCGTTAACAAAAATGATAATTTATCTCAAACATAATTTAACATAGGCGATAAGATAAAGTGCGAAAACTAAATAATCGTAAACAGTGACTTAACTCAAATTTAACACGAATTAACACGAATTAACAAAATTTTAGTCACTTAACACAAATTTTCCCAACGATAAATTCTCAACGATCACACCGCCAGTGACGAAAATATTCAAGCGCTCGTCGCTCAAACTTTAAAAGCTGCGAACACCCTTGTTACAGTTTAAGCTCCGCGGTTAATATTGCAGCTGCTGAAATTCCCAAGTATCGAGATGACGCGAAACGAAATTCGAAGCGAATCGCATAACGTTTGCAGAAGCTATGAAACATTCATTGTCGCGCGTGGGTGAAGTCGTCGGGGCATTTTCCCGTTGCATTCCGTCGCAGAAAATGCGACGGGACACGCGGCAGCGTGCAATTTTCCTTTTCATTCATTGGGGAGCACGTTGCGCGAAGTGCCGTGCTGGACCAGAAGGGCGTTCGAAAGGTGCGTGTCGCACGTGAGAACGAAGCTCCCGTCTCACGACGCAACGTTTTGCAACGAACGCGTTCCCGTTCGCGGTGTTCCACGCATTCCTCCGGTAACAATGTCGCGTTATCCTGCGGCCCCTCCCGCCCCCGATCTTCGCGTGGGCATTAACCACCGTTACCAGGGAATTCCGTGACGCGTAATTCGTATTTATTGCGACGTCTTCCAGCAATGTAATTCGAGCGAAACGCGACGTCCGCGTTCCGCCAGACATCGGACATTTATCACGCGGGCATACACGCGTCGCGGTCACCGGAATAATTCCTGTCGGATTTCCAACGAGGCCACCCTTTCCCGAATCTTGTCCTTCCGTTGCGAAACCAGTCCTTTCTCCAAGGGGAACTTCGCAAGAATATGCGCGTCTTAACTCGCGTCAGCTTTTACTTTACAGAAAATTCAGATTCGTTTTTACCGTAGATACGTTGAACAAGATGAATGTGACTGGGATTTTTAAAGTACAGAAGAGTTATGCTAATGCTTCCTATGGTAAATTTTAACTTTACAGTTGCGGTTTCGATAATTAAATGACTTTGAGGTTGTGGGAATTCTTCAAGCTGGTATTCGTCACTTGGCATGGTTGATGTATCAATCTGTTAACCGGTTAGGACGAAATATTTCGTCATACCAGGAAGACAACTCCGATGGGCATGACGACTTTTTTCGTCATGGAAATTTGTCGAAGTAATATGTGTAACGCATTACCCTTTAGGTCGTTCTTATCCGTTAAAATCGAATTTGCACAGTTTAGTTTCAAACATCACTATAATGTTTTTTTTATATATAATACACTAAGGGTGTCAAGATATACAGTCACTCGCAAAATTGAGCGCACGCCTTTTAAAACGCAATAACTTTGTTTAAACTGGGCTAGGTGACTTGAATTTTTCTTAGATGATAGACCATGACCAAAATGCTTTTCTTATAATTTTGCTATTACTTGGAATGTCAAAAAAATAACTCTCGTTTTTTTAACTTCTTCATTTGAGCCTATAACTGAAATTTCAAAAATGCCTTTTGTAGATCTCGATAACTTATATGCACGCTGGAAATTAAAGATGGCAAAAATCGCAGTTTTATCACGGTATTGACCAAAAACTGGATGAAATCTGCAGTTTTTTAAAAGCTTTTCAAATTTTCAGCACGTATTAAAGTTACCAAGATTTACAAAAGGCATTTTTTACATTTTTTTATAGGCTCAGATAAAAAAGTTAAAAAACGAGAGTTTTTAATTTTTTTNTGAGAACGAAGCTCCCGTCTCACGACGCAACGTTTTGCAACGAACGCGTTCCCGTTCGCGGTGTTCCACGCATTCCTCCGGTAACAATGTCGCGTTATCCTGCGGCCCCTCCCGCCCCCGATCTTCGCGTGGGCATTAACCACCGTTACCAGGGAATTCCGTGACGCGTAATTCGTATTTATTGCGACGTCTTCCAGCAATGTAATTCGAGCGAAACGCGACGTCCGCGTTCCGCCAGACATCGGACATTTATCACGCGGGCATACACGCGTCGCGGTCACCGGAATAATTCCTGTCGGATTTCCAACGAGGCCACCCTTTCCCGAATCTTGTCCTTCCGTTGCGAAACCAGTCCTTTCTCCAAGGGGAACTTCGCAAGAATATGCGCGTCTTAACTCGCGTCAGCTTTTACTTTACAGAAAATTCAGATTCGTTTTTACCGTAGATACGTTGAACAAGATGAATGTGACTGGGATTTTTAAAGTACAGAAGAGTTATGCTAATGCTTCCTATGGTAAATTTTAACTTTACAGTTGCGGTTTCGATAATTAAATGACTTTGAGGTTGTGGGAATTCTTCAAGCTGGTATTCGTCACTTGGCATGGTTGATGTATCAATCTGTTAACCGGTTAGGACGAAATATTTCGTCATACCAGGAAGACAACTCCGATGGGCATGACGACTTTTTTCGTCATGGAAATTTGTCGAAGTAATATGTGTAACGCATTACCCTTTAGGTCGTTCTTATCCGTTAAAATCGAATTTGCACAGTTTAGTTTCAAACATCACTATAATGTTTTTTTTATATATAATACACTAAGGGTGTCAAGATATACAGTCACTCGCAAAATTGAGCGCACGCCTTTTAAAACGCAATAACTTTGTTTAAACTGGGCTAGGTGACTTGAATTTTTCTTAGATGATAGACCATGACCAAAATGCTTTTCTTATAATTTTGCTATTACTTGGAATGTCAAAAAAATAACTCTCGTTTTTTTAACTTCTTCATTTGAGCCTATAACTGAAATTTCAAAAATGCCTTTTGTAGATCTCGATAACTTATATGCACGCTGGAAATTAAAGATGGCAAAAATCGCAGTTTTATCACGGTATTGACCAAAAACTGGATGAAATCTGCAGTTTTTTAAAAGCTTTTCAAATTTTCAGCACGTATTAAAGTTACCAAGATTTACAAAAGGCATTTTTTACATTTTTTTATAGGCTCAGATAAAAAAGTTAAAAAACGAGAGTTTTTAATTTTTTTTGTCGTCTTTAATAATACAAAATTGAAAAAAAAGGCATTTTAGTCATCTTGTAGTAGACTAGTCCTGCTATCATCTAAAGAAAAATTTAAGTCAACTTAGTTCAGTTTTGAAAAAGTTATTGCGTTTGAAAAGGTTTACGTCTCAATTTTGTGAATAACTGAATAGCTACGTAACAACTAACGATGTGTATATTTAACACGATTCGAGACATTTGAAATAATTGATTTAAAAATTATAATAATGATATAATTATATAATATTAATTATATATATATTAATATATAATAATATATATATTAATTATATAATTATAATAATGATATAATTATTATAATAATTGAGTTAAAAAAAGATTTTTCAAAATATGTCAAAATAAATGATTAAATATCATTTCAAATATATCACATTAAAGGAATGTTCAAACGAAAGGCGAGTATTTTATAGTGTAGTGTGTGAATAATTAAAATTTGTGACATCGACTGTAAGGAGCATTTTCGAGCATTTTCAATTACCTGTAATTGTCCGTGATCAGGGCTGAGTCTGTCCCAGTCTCGTCGCTCCTCGGCCAATAATCGTTGTTCCTGCACCTTCTGGTTGAACTCCAGTCGATGGTCCCTGGAATTGTCGTGCATCAGGTCGTGTCGCGAACCCGTGACACTGCTGGTCCCGTTGGCAGTGTTGCGATTGTAAAGGGAACCCAACTTCACCATGTTGTCGACCAGGTTCACCAGAGGTTTGCCCTTCTCGTACTTGAACCGAATCAAACCACGCAGATAATCAATAATCCGTCAACAACATCAATCAATCGACAATCCATCGATGATTAAAAACCATTTGCAATTTATCAACATAGAACATCTCTACCAGGACACACACTTTGCCGGCCGCTTATTTCTCGCATCGCTTTTACGCTGCCGCCAGCGAATTTCGCGCGGATTCTATTGCTACCGACGGTGGTATTTACGCTATCCGTCGTACATGGGGTATGGTTATTATTAAAAATGGCACTAAAATTAGTGTTACATAAATTTTAATGCATATTTTTATATCTCAAAATTATCACTTATATTATTTACAAAAAAACGTGACCCCGGCCGATAACCGTTGGGGAGCAGAAGTCACGCCAGCGTGACAGCGGCCGGCAAAGTGTTAAAACATTTCCTAAACTAAATAATTCTTGTTCAGTCAACAATAGCTGAGCACTCTTCCGTAAAAAAGATCCGCGAACAAAACAGCAAGTATTTGGTACAATCGTCGCAGACATTCGAATGTCTTGCATTGTTTAGGGACCGCGATCCGATGGTCAAACAATTTTGCATAGCTCCGAGATTATCATAGTAGAAGGAATACAAGAGGGCTGTGAGAGAGGCTTATTTCGAAGTTTCTTAATTAAACCGGCGAACAGCTCGAAAAACTCCACGCGACCAGGAAAGTTCGACGCGGTATAATTAAATCCTAAGATACTGAACGCGTCGTCGTCGTCGCCGTCGTCGCGACGAATTTCCGCGTCGCAGCAAATTTATCTTGCCGGTTGAATGTTTCGCGTTGATCCTCTGGTCTTTCAAGTGGCTCACCGGCGCAAGGAAAAGTCGTACCTTTAAAGAGCTTATTGTAAAGACGAGAGTGATGTCCAACATAAATTCCAACGCAATCAGAAAATCGCAATTCACTTCGTTAGAGGGTAATAACAGCACGATTAACACTAAAGCTGCCATGGTGTTCAAAATGACCGGTTCCACGTATTTTATTGAAACATTTTTGGTACTATAGGGCCACTTTCGTAGAGAATGATCGAACAAATTTCTTGATTCAAGCACACGTTGCAATAAAATTGATAAGACGTCTAAATAAATTCGGTCTCGCAATTCTTATGAAACAACACATGTCGGACGTCTTTAGTGCTCGGTAGGTTTAGTGTTAAAGTTTCAAAGGATCAAGCTGCCATAACTGGAACACAGTAAGGATACTGTCTAAGTCGAAGTGGTGCTTTCACCCGACCTAATCCACGGGACACCTAACTGCTCACCTGCTTCTCGAGATCCATCAGGTGCTTCTTCAGTTCCTCCAGCTTCTGAAGATTCTCCAATCGTCTGGGGGTATCGAGCTCGGCCAATCTAGCCTGCGGGTCACAAAAGATCGCCAAGTTGAGAGCGAGAGAGAAAGAGAGGAAGAGAGAGAGAGGACAGAGGGAGAGAAAGAGAGCCACGGTGTCGTGCACCGTTTCCCTGATCCGTCTTGTCGCAGCCGGTCACGTCGCGGCGTTTCATGAAAATGCAACGAGAACCCACGCGGATACGTCGGTCGAGCGTACCCCGACGGAATAACGTTCGGAGAAAATTGCAAAGGTAATTACGAACACGCCACGAAAACTCGAGCGACTTCGGGAACAGTTCGACTTCGCAGCGTGTAAGAGTACCACGGGAAAATTCTCGAACCTGTCGCCGACGCCTGTGCGGATCCTCGCGTAGTTATTGCGGAAACATGCTCACACTGACAGAAACGAATTGTACACGGTCGACATAAGGATCCACAGTATGGTAATTAACGCTAGAACTACCAAACCAGCCAAAATAACCGGTTTCTGTTCTTTTACTCTTACGGCTCCCGATATTATAAAAATGTTATAAATAATAATATATAATAATATAATATATATATATAGATATATATATAATATTATAATATATATAAATATATAATAATATAATATATATAAATATATAATAATATAATATATATAAATATATAATAGTATAATATATATAAATATATAATAATATAATATTGAAATATATAATAATATAATATTGAAATATATAATAATATAATATTTAAATATATAATAATATAATATATAAATATATAATAATATTTAATACTATAATATATAAATATGTAATAATATAATATATAAAAATAATAATAATAATAAATGTTATAAATGTAATAAAAAATTTTAGATAAGCTTCACACATTACGATAGAAATCGCACGAAGTTTAAATGAATCCAACCTTGTAATTGTTATAAAACAATGCATGCTCTCGTTAAGAGCTCGGTAGTTCTAGCGTTAAACCGCGGATCTTGCGCGTCACAGATTCGATGATTACATCGAGGAGGGTTGGCCGCGTCTCGGATTGTAGTGGAATAACGATGCAATTACCTGTTAAAAATAACTGCACGAGGATCCGCAGTCTACCGATAAACATTGAACGTGGGTGCAACGTCGAGGGTGCAAACGTGACTGTGCGAACGAGCATTCCCACAGAACGACACACGAGTTTGGAGTGATCGAAACAAGCAATTGGGAAACATCAATCATGGTCGCACGCGTCGGGTTTCATTCGACAATATTAACACGGGATATTAAGGACCGCGCGATAAAAATTGTTAGCAGCGAAATTGGTGGTCTCGTTTCCGCGTCTCGCGGCTGTGGAATCTGTCCAATTTACCGTGCGTTGTGTTTTTCGGCTGTCGACTCCGTTAACGGGAAGACTGCAACAACAACCAGAAAATAAAAACATCGATGCCAGGGGGCTATGAAAAAGTAGTTAACCTGTTAACCGAGCGATTTCTCGTCTAGAAAAATGTTTAAATGCGCCGCCGGTCGAAGGAGAAACAACTGGGTTTACGATCGGTCGCGGAAATGGAATCGCGTGGCAATTGAACCAGCTGTCGAAAAAGATTTTGTCGTAAAAATTCGTTAACGTCCCTAAATCTGTTGCTATCGTCGTGAAAAAGACATTTCCGTTTCCATCCGTGGGAAATTGAGTTGTCGCGTTAACACATTCACTGGGAAACGAATTGTTTTCTGTTGCACCGATGCCGTACCAAAAAACTGATATTCCGGAGTCCAGAATCTAATGAAAATATTAAGTGCACCGTTGTACCGTACTTTCGTCTATGATAATAATAATTTTGTAAATATACAGATGCTCCGCGAAAACGTGATTCCGCAGTGTCCGATTTGCGCACAGCTGTTCAAAAGTGGACGCGATCAGGAAAACTCGAAATCCTTGTCTGCACTGGCGAGTTCGCGCGACAGGTATAGTTCGGCCGACTAACAGGTTAACATGGCTAACAAACAGGTGCACGTGGAAACGCGACGACTTTTCCAGCGGACAGCGGACTGCCGTTGCCTTCACCGCGCGAGGTGAACGGCAGGTTTCGCCATGGAGGGAAAGAGTCGTCGGAGGAAATCGCTGTAACACTTCGCGCGATCCATCCTCTGCGCCCTCCCTGATTCCCCCTCGATCTATTCCCCGGTGGCCGGAAAACGTAGAAAGCCTTTCGGATGAAACATGGAACGTTCAAGCGTGATGTCGATCGGTGAATCGTCTGAGCGATTAATCCAGGCACGAGGGCACCGATGTACAGGGTGTGGCTCTATTCAAGTCGAGGGCCAGAAAGCCACGCCCACTGAGGCAGCTTGCATGGAGATGGCACAGAGGACACGCCCACTCGGGACGTTTTGCATTTAGGAAATATGTAGACGGGCTCTCATCGTTCCGAATCCACTGTTGAATAGTTTCCACATTCTTGTAAACATTGATGGTAATGCGAAACAGAGCGTGCGCATAAAAGCACGCCCATTTGAGGGATTTTATTACGTCATCAAATGTGAAATTATGTTCCTTTTTAATTATCAGCCTCCTTTTTATGTAGATTGCTCCGAATGGCCTAGTTACTCTCGATATAGATCGTTCCGAGTGGGCGTGGCTTCGCTGCTCTTTCTACGTATTAGGTTACCTCACCAATAATGCGACTACATAAAAAGAGCAACGAGACCACGCCCACGCGGAACTTTCTGCATTCAGGAGTAACAAAGCCACGCCCATTTTGGCATTCAAAGAATTTGGCATTCACTGAATTTTCTGATCGCTCGTGCACTACTTTTTAAAGTTGATTCTTTGGCCCAGTTTCTAACGATTTGACCCTCGGGGTAATCCAGAGCCATCTCTGCCTGGATTGATCGTTCGAACACCTTTAGTGAGTGTTCAAAGATAGGCGAGCGTTCAAACGCCGAGTGCCATTCGCAGAAATAAAATGTTCTGCTGGCAGAGCTGCTCGCAGCAGGAATTTGATCCTCGAAGAAGCCGAGTCATCAGAATTTCAATTCACTCGGCGTTTGACCTCGCGGACGACTACTCGCATGAAAGGCACACTAAAAGCTTGAACACCGGGTACGAGAACAAAGCGAGGCAGGAATTCGTCTCCCGAGGAAAGTCACTATTCTAATAGCGTTCGCTACGGACCGGTTCCTTGCGATCTCGCGAACCTCCGCGTCCGCCATCCGTCAACGTCCGGACGTCCGAAGACGTCCGGTCACGTAAATTTATTGGACGTCGGAAACTGGCGATGATCCTGTGCTAAGACTCCTCGGATCGATTCGAAAGTCGTTGGTGTACTTGGCCGTTTTGCGAGCTATGTCAATTTCTTCGAATTACTGATACTTTTTAGTTCGAACCAATCTACAGTAAATTCTCCCTAATTGACGCTCAACTCGTACACAAAAATGAACAATTTGAGAAGAGGAGGCACGATTATAAATAACATTACAGCAGGTTTTCATAACTGTTTACAATCGATAACTATAAAAACGAGCCGCAAGGCTCGAACAATCGTATCTCCTTTTCCCAAATAGTCCATTTTTGTGTATTACGAGAAAATTTATTTAGTGTCGAAGATGACGCGACACTGTTGGCGTAGGATGCTTCGATTTCGTCAAGATCTTCGCTCTATTCAAGGACCATCCTTGCGAACCAAGGGAAAGGTGAACGAGGCTTAGCACTCGGACGGTGGAGCTCGGATTCATTTCGACACCGAGTATAAATATTGCTACTTGACTATCTAGTTTCTGGGAACTAATTTTTCACAAATTTCATTAACGTTATATTGTTTTGCAACAATGGTAAGATTTGATTTACTAAAATTTCGGACGACTTTTACTATAATATATGCTTCATTAAAGGAGTTTATCAACAAATTTCTCATCGAAACGTTTTCCCAAAATTATCGTACAAACGGGAAATGAGTGGTTCCTGAGATCATTTGAAGTAACATTTTCCTTAGCGAAAATGCAATCCGCGACTTCGTTTACGAGTTATTAACGAAAAACAGTGACCAATGAGAGTCGAGATTAGTCATTGTTTTCCGTTAATAACCCGTAAATAAAGCCGCGGATTGCATTTTCGTTAAAGAAAAAGTTACTTCAAATGACCTCGGGAACACTTCATTTCTCGCTTGTACAATAATTTTGGGACAGCCTCTATAATTTTATGCAAGCAGAAATCAGAAACTTTTGACTGGTTTGGTAATTCTGGTATAGAAAATATGTGTAAAATGTGTACTTTAACAAACAATATTAACAAAAATTGGTAATTGTGAAAAATTTTGACTGGTTTGGTAATTCCGGTATAGAAAACGCGTGTAAAATGTGTACTTTAAAACCAATATTAACAAAATATATTGATATACAATTACAAATGATTCTAAGCATAGTCAGTTATATTTTTGTTAAACAGATCCGTCGTTCGAGTGTTAAATGAACAACTTATTGTCCTAAGTTCAACGGTCCTTAAAAATCGACATAGCTCGCAAAGCGATCTTAGTATTCCTCGGGCCTCTAAAGATCCACGCTGACTGCGCTAAAGGAGACACCGGCGAGGTTCGACTGTTCAAGATCGTCGACTGTGGCCAGCTGGTCCCGAAATTGGTTCACTGAAAATGTCTCCGGACCTGAGCCTCGATCTCCATGTGGCAGTGTTCCATCGCTTTGTAGATAGTGGCGTTCTGCCGGCGCAGCTGGATCAGCAGGAGGACCAGCTCCTCGTGGGTCCTGCCGAGGAGTTCGCCGGCGGATACACGGACAAGGCCCTGGGCCCCTGGCTGCGTCAGCTTCAAGGTCTCCGCTCGATGGGACCCGGCGACCACATTGCTCTGTCGAGATGCATGCAATTCTTTCGTTAGCCAGCGAACGCGCGCACTTTTAATTAGACCACACCGGGTGTGGCCTTTTAATTAGCCTCCTCGCGGTCCCCCGTGACTCGTTGCCGAAAGATTCTCTGCTACACGCCAGCGATGCTTATCGGGCTCTGAAAACGCTATCGCTACGCGCTATTTCAGCTCGACCGTCGAGCCTTCTTGCAGAAGCGAAACTATGGTAGTCACAGGATTTGGGTCACCGGTGTAGATGACCTTGAACCTCGAGCCGATTATCCAGTGCGCGTTTAGATTTACCAGTGACAACCAGACGGGAACGTTTCCAAATTCTTGAGCGCAGTTTCTTCGTCCTCATTCTTCGAGAAGGTCAACGTGAAAGACATGTGTTAACCGTGCACATAGTCTTTGATAACTATAATCTTCAACTACAGTCAACTGTTACTGTTCGTGAATGCCATTCGGTGACACCGTGACCTTTTCGAAGAAAGAGGACGAACAGATCGCATGCGGGAAATTGGAAACGATCGAACGCGGCCAAATTCTGTCGCTCTAAGGAAAAACGCCGCGTGTCACGATTTTAACTCAGTTATTGCGTTAATTGGAAAAATTGTGCATTGTAAAGCTTCACTAATACTAAGCATTAACGATCGAAACTTTTTCTTCCTTGGAACCGCAGAAATGTCACCACTGGATCGACATTGGCCATTTAAAGGCCGAAACACACTATCGTGCATCGTGCACTTTGATAAAAATCAATGAAATATTTGCCCGGACCGAGACCAGACCGGGAACGACACGGTAGCGTGTTTCGACCCTAAACCGCGTACGCACGTGGTCATATACGACGCGTGCGCGCTTCAACAGCGTCGATGAACGTGCGAATCGGTCGCTGAAAATCGGCAGTTTCTCGGTGATTTTGTGGCAAATAAAATTTCCTTTTTGTGCATCGAAGTGTCCGAAATATATTAGAGTTTCGCTTCTGTAAGAGTTCTCTCTGGTTCGATGATGAAAATGTGGGGTTGAACGTTAGGCAGCGTTAGCTGCTATGTAATGGTCGAGGCTTGTGATACACGTGCTTTGTAGGAGGATATCCCCTCCGGATTTTAATTTAGCGATGTTAATTACCGGTGAATGGAGTGTAGTTACAGTAATTAAGATGTGAGAACCACGATTGCGTCGAATAGCATGCTGCGTAACGCGTTTTCGGAAAGCGAATGAAAGGGGACACGAGCGCGTTCGATGGAGGACCGATGTCAACAGGGTGAGTCAAATATTTTTAACATAAAACTGAAATCTATTTTAATTAAACAATACATTACTCGATGTTTTTCGTATACGAAGAGATATTACGGATAAATGAGGGAGTATCCCTTTATTTAGAAGTTATTTTAAATGTACCATAGTTGTTGCAAACTCTATTGTACTTATGATTTTTTATCTAGAAAACCACGTGTCGGATTAGCTTGAAACTTTTTTTATACGAATCAGGAAGCTTTAGTTCATGCTGAGAATTTTCGTTTCGTTCCTAAAATCAATCTTTTAACACTCGAAATTGTAACCAAATGCTGAGATATGCAACACTCCCAATTTATAAGATGCAATGGAGATGCAATCTTTTTCATGTCGACGTTGATAGCAATGATATCTCCTCGAAACAAAGCTTATTCTGTAGATTAGGCTTCAAAGAATATAGCTATATTTTTCCTAATTTTTAAACCGAACAATTGTAGTAGAATAAATTTGCAAAGTGAGAGATTATTAAAAAAGTAAAAAATAATTTCGTAACAATCTCTGACATCGTCGCGTCGTTGAACGATCGTAACATAAACGTTTGTTGACTCACCCTGTACATTGTAATACTGCGGATGATTCACCGCGGGAAATTCATACCTTATCGCGGTTTGTTCAAACCGCTGCGCGTACGCGCTACGGTCGCGCGCAATTTGAAACGACTCGATTCGACTGGCATGGAGAAGATTAAAAGGAACGCAATATCATATGTAGTATGTGGGACGTACCACCGACCCGTAGAATCGGTGTCCCGTAAACCTTACTCGACGAGCGAAACGAACGCCGCGCAATCGTCACGCAAACAAACAATAAACTGAGCAAACCTAACTAAGGCTCCGACGCTACCGACGACGTTTCTGCGGCTGTGAGACGGTAACGCGGTAGGTCACTATACCAGATGAGAAAGTAGCAGTTGTAATTGCGACAATATTTCTCATTTAGTCAACCATTTATAATTATAATTATAATTGCGAATGTCGTCGCTTTTAAAGTTCTCTCGGGACTTTGATTTTCGACGAGAAGGATCGACAAAAATTTTGTAATACATACATCGATGGTGGACGTACGCCAGAACTTTTCCAAAATTTTCGGATAAATGGGGAAAATGTGCTATAATTTCCTATACAATAAATTCTCCCTAATTGACGCTCAGCTTGTGTACAGAAATGGACAATTTGGGAAGAGGGGATACGATTATTCGAGCCTTGAGGCACGTTTTTGTAGATATCGATTGTCAACAACTATAAAAACGAGCCTAACATATCAGTGATATTATTATAATATTATATATTTAACATATTATATAATATTACATAATATTCTATTATTATAATATTATTATTATAATAGTTAATATATTATATAAATTATATAAATTAGTATATAAATTATTATTATAATAATATAATATTATCATTATAATATAATAATATTCTATTATTATATTATCATTATAATATAATAGTATTCTATTATTATAATAATATTATAATATAAGTAAAATATAATTATAATATAATAATAAAAACGAGCCTAAATCATTATAAGGATCGAATAATCATATTTCCTCTTCCCAAATTGTCCATTTGTGTGCACAACCTGAGCGCCAATCGGGGAGAATTTATGGTATTCCCGTCTGACTATTTTTCTGAAGAAGAAAATCTATGTTTCTCTTATAGTTATCCTTGCAATAGTAATAAGGAGTCGGAACTTCATCAGTCCAATTTAAAATCATTCCTCCTCGGCACCAGATTAACATAAAAAATCCATGCTTCCTGTACAATTGTCCTTCTCCTATTAAGTACAAAAAACATAGACTTAATAGTCAAAAGTACACTGGTTCAGTATAAGAATCGTCCTCGACACACGGTGATTTCACTTTCCCGAAAACGAATTAGGGGCGTATCTCGCAAACCGCGAGACAACGCCGCAAAAAGCGTACGCGAAAAAGCCGTTTTCTGGGACGTGACAGTCGTATGCATAAATTCGCCGCATGAATATTTACGAGTCTGCGGATACAACGCCGACGCGGATGTCACGGCTGAGTTCGAGTTTCGGGGGCGGGCTCTGCCTCCAGCTCGTTCGTCTTCAGCAACGCGCGATAGTTCTCGGCATTACGAGCGGATCGTGTTTCAAAGGCCAGTCGTCTGGCCGTGGACGGCGTCTAGCTGTCATCCCAAGAACCATCAAACTCTTCCACGTATCTAACGGGCGCCGAACTTGCCCGGATTTAAGGAAACTGTTCGAGCGATCCGATGGAATCAGTGAAATCGAATCTAGAAGAAATCGAACCTATCACTCTCGCAGCGAACAATGGCTCCCGATCGTTGGAACGACGTCGTTTAAGTACGAATCTGACCGAAGGCTAGAACAATGGAGGCACTAATCTCGCACCGATGCATAGCAGAAAGAACAACGACCTTTGATCCTCGGCCCAACCAGCCGAAATCCGAAGAATCTCTCTAATCACGAGCGCTGCTGCAGCTGCTCTTTGATCATCGCGGCGAGAGCGAGTGGACGAGCGTTGCGCCGCAGGAGTATGCCAAATGGACAAAGGTTGCTCATAGGACAACGCCAGAACGCGGATCTTTATGCGATTCTCAATCAACTGCGAAATTAATTGCAGCACCGTGCACTTTAACACTAGGTTTACGAGTTATTATTTGTTCGATATACTTGCGGCGAACATTAGTACGATACGAAACTTCGGAGTTTGTCTCTCGAAAATAATGATTGATATTTCACCGAATGCTCTCTCGTACATACGACAATAGTTAGACTGCGGATTTTATGCACTTACAACGAGATTGAGCGGCTGCGATTGGAAACATTAAGGAGACCGAACGAATCGTAGAATATCGACCTACTAGAACGACGAAGCCCTATGTTACGTAAAAGCATTCGTATTTTGTAAAACGTACAGGTCATTCTAATCGCGATGCTATAAGTTTCCGTAACAGTGATCGAAGTTTTTAGAACATGAAAAATTCTCAAGGAAATTGAACTGAACAGGCGCGTGGCACAAAGGTTGAGGTAGATTCCTGAGCAACACCTATGTCTCGCAACAGACGCAAATGTTAACGAAGCCTAAGTAACCACAGCGCAGACACAGTAATTGCTCAAAAGGGACAAACGAGGCACAGTAGCTTCGCGAGGTCCTTTTGTAGGGGGACAACCCGGTTAGAAATGTACCCTGTTATCTGAGAAACGCGCGGATACCACGAGAGCATAAAGATCCGCAGTCTAGACATCACGTACCGCGTCCACATCGATCCGAGGCGTATCCGAAGCGGCGCGGAGCGTCGCGGCGCTGGCTGCCGCTGCGGCAAACAAAACACGGGCTCTTCAAGTGGCTCGGATGGGTTCCATCGTCGTCGAGGAGAACGGGGAATCCTCCTTGTTCGGGCTGTCGAGGATGTTCTCGAGGATGTTCTCGAGGACGTCGTTCGTCGCGGACGAGAGAACAGACGGTCTCACATCGCGAGCACCCGCGTTCGAGGAACCGGCGGCGAACAACTCGGAGGAGAAAGCTGCGATCGGGAAAAGAAGCGTCGCGGCACCGAGACCGAGCGAAGGTGGAACGAAGACTTTGGTAGACTGGCGTGATGCCCGGCCCGGCCCGATCGCCGGAGCCTGTTCACCAACTCCTACAGTACCCGGCATGCACCGTGGTTCCTTGCTCGGCTTGCCGTGGACGTTGTTTTGTA